ATTTGCCATTATTCTAAAATTTACAGTAGATTTACAGAAACTATAATAGCAAAATCTTATATAATTTTATTATTCGGAACAAAATGCCACGTCGGACTTTAGTTCAAATTGTGGAATTTGTACAAAATTAACAAAGTATAATAATTATAATCTGTTATAAGTTTATGGAAAACTATTTTTAATCAGGACTGTTTGGGAATTAATGTAAAGCTCTTTAATTAAAAAAAAACAAAATTAATTTAAAATTTTAAAATTCTAACCTCGAATAATATCCGATTAAGTTATATCTAGCTATATTTCCATGTAATTTATTTAAAATGTATAATGTTCAAACTTCAAATAGAAATTTTTCTTATAAACATATACATTCTTCACAATGTCCTTTAAAATAATATAGTAAATTAACTAGAACTGTATTTGAATGGCAACTTTTAATTGATGTGTTTTAAAAACAGCAAATATATTGCGTTGAATTTAAAAGTAAAAACACGTATACACACATAATTTGGGAAATACATGCTTGCGTACATCTTATTTTCATATTCTTATACTTAATATAAAAATTAAAAATTTTCTAAAGAAAATTTTTTGTCTAGACATATTTTTTTTGAAATGACATTTTAATGATATTTACAGCGAAAATTTGTAATAAATAAATTTATTATTACTTTTCAAGGAAATGATTGCAGGGGGTACGCACTAAACATAAATTTAAAAAAAGGGATAAATAATATAAAAATTTATAATTAAAAAAATTCTTTGGATCTCTAGTAAGTTATGCAATTTTTCATAATATCTCTGAAGAAAATTGTAATTCTTTTCTGTTAATTAGAAAAAAATATTCGAAATAAGCTTCATGATAACGGTTTTTATAATTTTTATAATTTCGTGCAATAGGAGAGATTGAGTCATTGAATTTCGCATGTCCAGTTAGTGGCAGAAGTGCACTGCCTAGTGGTTGGCAAGTGTTAATAAATTATTTATAGCAAAATGTTGGTCTGTGTGTAGGCTCGTCTATCTTAATTTCGGTTGAATTGATTATGCCACGGGTCGATCAACTTCTAGATAATAAGTCAGGTTTCGTCAACTGGACCACTGAACTTTACTACATATTGCACTATAATTTGACATTTTTGATCATTTTTAAAAAAAAAATATTCAGAACTATTCATTTTGAAGTTTTATATGAAAGCTTCGTTTGAAAATTCGACAATCATCTAAACGTTTTGTTGAAATGACGTGTCAGCAACTGAACTTTTACAACTGGCCGAATTTACATTTTTATTTATATACTTGTGTATGCAGGATTAACTAGGGATCTATTAATTTAAATTCTTTTAAGGGAATAATAGGAACCATATTTTCATTTTTCCAGGCATGTTAAGTAATAATTTACTACCACTCTTAATAATTGAGAGAAGTGTTTAAAGGAAATTTTTACTTTGCTAAATACAAACTTGTGTTTCCAAAATTAGCGATTATTAGTTTTTAATAATTAAATAGTTTTTAAACAAATATTTTGATTTAAATACCCAGTTAATCAAATAATAGAATTAAATTTAAATAATAAAGTAAAAAGCTTTTTTTTCTCAAATATTTTTATTAGTAAGAAATGTGGACGTGTGTATAATCTAAGTACTGCGTTCTGATTAAATACAAAATTTGAATAGAAATGAAGAAACTATTCAATATAACTACGTGTCCTTCTCATAAAACACGCTTACTTATATACGACATACATATACATACATGTATATGTGGGTACAAGTCTAAATTTAGAGGATTTGTTAACAAATTTTAAAACGTTTCAAAAAATTTCGTTCTAATTCAATTTTAATTTTATAAAATTTAAAATTTTTTATCATGTTGTTTATTATGGTGTATATATGTTGTAACTTTTATTTTTATTTCTTTCAAAATTTAGCATTCTCATAAAAGATGTTAATTTTTAAAGGTTAGTTTATTACTTGTAGCTCTTGTTAGTTAGTTTATTACTTGTAGCTCTTAGAAGTTCGAAAGAAAATCATAAGAATACTTACTTATGTGCAAAAGTGTTAGTTTGCATACATACATACGATAAAGTGTGATGATTGTTCGCATATCAGATTGAAATTATTTAAACTTCAGTCAAAACGTTCGAAAAAAATTAATTGTAACCATTTTACTTTTTAAAAAACTTAACAACAATTCTAATGAGAATAGAGTAATTTCTATTATTCATCGACAAAAAAAGTCTAATGTCAAACAGTGTTTACGTATTATACGACTTTCATCAGACTTAGATATAAATCTAAGATTTTGTCGTATATAAGATGTAAACAATATTTGAAATTCACAAAATATTGTGTACCACGCATTTGTTAAGAAAAATCTGAGTCAAATTCAATAGAACTAAATTATGGTCTAAATTAATTTTTTGTTTTAAATTCAAACAAAAATAATCGCACTTAATTTAATAGTGAAGGTTTTCAAAGCAATTTTAAAAATTCATCTTTTTTACTTTCTTTTAGCCATTAAAATAAAAAAAACATGTTGAGTAAGATTTTTTTCTATAAAATATTTAATTTTTATTTTTTATTGTTTTAAATAACCCCATACTGTGCAAGTATACTTATATTTTTATTTTCAATGTTATCAATCAAGTATAAAATATTCTATTTTTCTTTTATAATTTTAATAAAATTTTTATAAAACATTTTTACTTACTTAAAAACTGCTTACTTATTAGTTTAATAAATTTGAATAAAAATTTCAATGAAATTTTTTTTTTTTTTTTAATTTTCTTTTAACACATGTACACACACATATATATGTACATAAGTAAATATGTATGAATAAATGCATATTTTTATGTACATAATAAATTTTCAACCTTTTAAATTTTAAATTATAAGGTATAAGTGAGTAAGTATGTGTGTCAAGAAAGTTAAGTGGATTGTATTTGAAGATTCTTAATAAATGATAGATTAAAATTAATATACGCGTAATTCTTTCAATTATTCAATCTAATAATCAATATTTTATTAGAAAATAACTATTGATACATTATCAATAATACTTAGTGTAAACGTCTAGATTAAAAACTTGATAGCTTACATATAAGTTCATAATAAGTAGAAAATTAAAATCCATGTGTATGTATGAATGTAAAAAAATTGCTACATGTATTAATATTTGTATAGATAATCTAATATTATGTACTCAAGTGCACAGTAATCCCTCCTATAACTTAGTTTTTGTATTTAATGTACCTACATTTAAAGGGTAAACTTCAAATTAATTGGAGTTGCACAATGCTTCTTAATTGGCCCCATGCTAATGACCATCATAGATAGTCATCCCCCAGCGAAAATTTTTTACTTAGAAAGAAATTACATTATTAGGAGATTCTAAAAAACTAAGCAGATTCTAAAAACTTAAATTACAATTAACTAATTCTATGTATCTAAATTTTTGTTGAAACAAAATTAGATTATCTCAAATTTACTAAATGATTTTATTTTAATTGTGAGGCAAAGTGAGTGTCAACTGTTTTTTTTTTTCTTGTCGAAAAAAGGTAAAAACATATGGAAATTATGTAGCAAGAGGTTACGTCATAATAGGGGGGATTACTGTGCACACATATTTATGTTTGGCAAGTAAATATACAACCGATATGTACAACATTTTTTAATAATATTTATTCGATGTACTTATTAAAAAGTATAGCGTTGTATTTTAATATTTATAATTTACAATACAAATTAGAACAAATTTGGATTTTTTTAAGTTTTCATTGCATCATTTAATTTTATTTAAAATTAATTTTAATGCTTTTCAATTAAATTGTGGAATGCATACCAGGTAAGGTACTAATCAATTTGGAAAATTGATTGGTCAAGTCTCAATAATATGCTAGTAACATGTGATTCCTAATTTAGACTTTGCGCTTAAATGTCTTTAAAACTTCATAAAGTCGTTGAAACCAATTATGATGCTCCACTAGGTGGCGAATTTTATGAACTTTAAAATGAGTATACTTTGTTTGCTTAGCTTATTATATTTTTCCAATTAAAATTGGAAATTTAACGGTTTCTTGAAATTCCAACTTTCTTCTGAGACACCGGTACTCGAAAAGGAATTTTGAACGACTTAAAATTATTAAACAATTTACGAGTATTGTATATAAGTAACACAGAGTAATTTAAAATATCGTTGGTTAAAAAGCAGAAAGCATTAAGTCAGGAAACTGTGTTTTGAGTAAAGTCAATTTGAAAAAATCGTAAAATTGTAAAATTAATCAATTAGTGCAATGGGATTGGTCTCTTTAATTTCTGGATTTATAAACTACATTCTGGATTTGCATGATTTTTTGCCACAACAAAGATTATATTATTCTGATTTAATTCATCTATGAAATCCAAATTCTCAAAAAATGCACTTAGTGTTTTCTGCTTTTTAACCGACGATACAATATTGTATGAATTTTAAAATATAATTTGCTCGTGCTTATACAAAATATTAAAATTTTAAAATATTTCAATTATTACATAAGTATATATGTACATATATACAAATTATATTTGTATGAGAAAATTTACAAAAGTGATAATTATTAAATAATTTTAAATAAAAAATAGCAATTCTCTTCGAAAATAAGTACACGTAAACTTTAAATTAATTTTAATTAGTCTAAAAAATGAATCGAATTACAATTTAAAAAAAAAAAGGTGAAAATGGAAGGGATATAGTAGCTAAAATTCATTCGATTTCTAAAATCATAGTCAAAATACTTAAAGTATGTGCAAATTTCTCATGGTAAACCTGTAGGAACAACAAATGACCTTTGTTGAATACTTAAATTGAATATTTTTGACTTGTTAGTCACTTTATTTTAATTTTAATGTTTTTTTTTTGTTGTTTTATTTATAATTTAATTTTATTTTGTTATTTTTATTTTTTTTTTTATCGACGCTCATTAGTTACTAATTGATTATTTGGAATTTTTCTTTCATTTATAGATTCTTCTGGCATGTTTGTGTCTAAGGCCAGATCTTTTGGTAAGTTCGCGTTGAACAATGACGAAAAAGAATAAAAAGAAAATTGAATAAAAAATTTTGCAATTATACAATCGCAAACATAAAAAAACTAATGGTTAATTTCGTATTATTAACACAAGCTACCACCATATAGTTACAAAACTACTACCATAGTTTTACTATACTACCATTACTAAATTATTTCCAATATATGTTAGTATGTACGTTAATTGGAATTGCAACAAAATAACTTTGGATTTAATTGGTTTTTTACATAATTTTAATAATAATTTTTCAATTACATACTAAGTATATTTATACATATAAACATCTACATCTCTATAGACGTGTTCGTTTATAATAACAAAAAATTTGCAAGCGAACTGTGGTTTTCATTCTTATTGTTTTTTTTTTAATGAAATTGTTTGACATGCTAGTATTTTTTTTTTTAATATATTTAATTTGATTAATAATTTTTATTTAATTAATTTTTGTGTTTTTTTCGTTGTTGATTTTTTTCTTTTTGTTTATTTTCGTTCTATTATTAACAAATTAGTTTTATACAGGATATTTTAATAAAATAACAAGTTTAATTGAAAAACACCATGTTTTCCAAATTTTTTTTTTCTCTTAACTTGATTTTAGAAGTTTTTTTTCATAAACAGGCTTAGATAGTGTATCGCTGCGATATATATCGTCATACAGTTTACCGTTGATCGACATATTTATATCGTTGACAAATTGAAACGAAAATTGACACTTTGCAAAAATTTACATTTTCTAAAAAAAAAATTTACTGCTACTTAGTAAAAAAAGGTTTCGGTTTTTCAGTTTTTTTTATAATAACAATTTAAAATCAATTTAAAATCAATTTGAGTTTTAAGCCAACTGTATGTCAATTTCCCTGACTTTTACAAAAGTACTACGTTACTGATGTTGAATTCTATTTATAAGTTGAAATTATTAAATTATATGGGCCCAGGTATATACGCAATTTTTAGTTTTGCAATTACTTCTTGATTGTAAAATTGTTGCGCGTATGTGCAACTATACTAGTGTGTGAATTCAAAATCGATTGCGTTAATCAAAAACTGCAATCAGTTTGTAAAAAACTATAAATTGTTTGATTGCTTAATTGTATGCGATCACAGAGTTGCATATGTGCGCGCTTGAATATAATCCTATATAACACAAATAAGTAATTAAACAGTTGCAAAATTAAAAATTGCATATCAGCCTAAGCCATAACGCGACAGTGTTACAGCAATTTTGGAATTACGTTTTGTAATCGAATAACTATTATTGTAGACACAGGGAACATTTATTTATTAAAATAAAAATCAAATTTTAAAAAAATTGAAAAATTTCGAGAAGAGGATTAATTTATGATAAACCTAAGTTTAAAGTAAATGAGCAGTTTTTTTATTTTTGAATGGTACGAGCCCTTTCTTTTTCATAAATATTTTGAAATATTTAAGAGTTTTAAATGATGGTTCCTTATTATCTTATTAAAATTGTACCTTTTTCAAAAAAAAAAGCGGCTCTAATAATAAATAACTAGTGTGTTAAATTATAACTAATAATGTGTTAAATTAATTAAAAAACTGGATTCAAGCATAAAAGGACAACACCAGTATATGACATAGCGATTTTGGCTTATTTACGTATACATATGTATTTATAAATGCAATATACTTAACTAAGAATCATGTGTTTTTTTTTTAATTAAAAAAAAAAATATTTATTTAACCCGCTCTAATGTTTGGCTTGATAATTAAAAAACAAAAACAATATTTTCTTTTTGATAATAAAAACAAACAACAATACAAATATATAAAAAATTCACATAATTATTTTTTTTAAATATGAAATTAATATAAAATCCAAATTTTGGTACATTTTTTCATTTTAAATTTTTTTAATTATAAATTTTTAGGACGAAATACCAGAATCTGATCCTGAAAGTTGTGGTAATGACGTCGATGGCAATGAAGATGAAGATGATGGTGATGACGAAGATGAAGATGAAGATGATGAAGAATTACAAGATCCGAATGAAACTGGTAATTTTCTATTAGATCAAACAAATGATCAAAGAAAATTAACAGCATTATTTGAGGCCGGTAAGATTCATTATTAAATTTTTAAAATAATTATTTAGTACTACCGTAAGTCAAATTTAAATAAAAACTAAAATAGAAAAGTAGATAGGTATACGAAATTTAAAATTTTTAGAAAAAATAAGTAATAATTAAGAATTGAATATCAATTCAGTTTGTTTGAGTATAAGGAATTTATTTGATTAGGATATTAAGGAATTAATGTAATTGTAAAATCGATTTTTTTTTTTAATTTTTCAATATTTTATGTAGAGAATCTCTCATAGAAACAAGAGTGTCCAATGTATATATGTATATTAATTTGTAATATTTGCCTGAAATACTGAAACTATTTCAGATTTCGCGTCAATATTTGCTATGGAAATAAATTATAATCAAAATAAAAATCAGTTGATCGCTGCTCAAAATTTTTGAATAAAATTAAGTGTTGCCGTTTTACATCTGATGAGAATAGAGTAATTTCTATTAATATTCTACTAAGATATCAATAACAACACAAAAAAATCTACTAAAAAAACTCATTTTAATTATAATTCGTCTTTTTGTCATCAATTAATTCACAATTATGGAATATTGGTGCTATAGAAATTTACTTTTGATTATTTCAATCAGACTTCTAACGTAAATAAATTTATTAATAATTGATAAAAATTTTTCGCAATTTCTCCCTATACACTTGCTCATATCACTTTTTTTATATTTTTGCCTCTGTATGTATGTATGTAATATGTGTAATATAGTTTTATATAATTTCAATCGTGACTGTATAATATTGCACAAAATATCAATAAAATTTCGATATTGTTCTTGGTTTTCGAAAAAAAAATGTTTGTTTTCATTCTTCTTTTCATGGCTGCCAATGACTCATACTGCATTGCATTCAAAAAATAATTGTTTGTTCATATATATTTTTTTTTCTCTTTTATTCTACTTTTACTATATAAAAATGTTATTCTACTTCTACTATATAAAAATGAAGCCATTTATTTTTTGGCTTCGCCAGTAAAAAACAAAAAAAAAAACAAAATTTTTTTTTCTGAATATTTTTTTCGCTTTTTTATTATTTTGATATTTTCAATTTAGTGATATGCATTGAGTCGACACGGCTTTTACCTCTTTCTTTGTATACCTACTTACTTTGTTTTTTTTTTTTTAGCTTTTTATTATTATAAAAAGGACTTTCCAGTATCACGTGCAATAAAGGTAAAGAAAAAAATTGAAATACCTTAATTTTTTTTTTGTCGCGAATTCGTGGCGTCTCGTTTTTTCGTTATTCTTCGTTAAGTTGTGATCGAACAACAACAAGAAAAAGTAATTCCAGAAAATTTTTACTATATTTTTGTGTTTTATTACTCGTATTATATATGTATATCGATATCTCTCTAATTATGTATGTATTGTACATACTTACGTGCTTAAATATTTATAATTTTCCCTATATACCTATCTATTTATGGATTTATATAGATAATGCATTTAAATATTATGTACATCAAACATTTTTCACCCCATTTAGAATGAAATCGAAAAAAAGGAGAAACTATTTGCGGACGTGATATACATACATAGATACATGCATGCATATGTATGTATGTATTTACTAAAATTTACATATGTACATATGTATGTACATTATGTACTTTCTACTAAAAGCTTATTGCATATTATATAAATTTAGTGAATAGTGAAAATGGAATTATTGGTGGTGGTTAATACTGGGCCATAGAACATACATTTATATGTTGTATGCAGGAACATATGTATGTATGTATATTATATACGAATATGAAAACATGTACATATATGGATGCAAGTACATATTATATAAAAAACATCTTTATTCAAAATCTAGCTCCAAAAGGAATACTCCAGATCTTGTATTCGCTATACTTATGTATGCACATACATATGTAAGTAGGTTTATTTGAGTATAGTTGTATATGCGATGAACTTATGTTTATGTCACAATTTTAATGAATTAACTTGCTACTTTCTGGATTTAATGCTCATTGTTCAGAAAATTTCCAAATAAAGTTTCCAGAAATAGAAAGAAATTACCAGCTAAAAGTCTTAACTTTTTTACTTTGAGCTTTAATTAAACATTTAACTTTAAATAAAGTAAATACAATCTTATACTTAGTTAATCCAAAAAAACAAGTTTCACGGTCCACAAAGTTTGAATTCAATTCATGGTTTTTTTTTATAAGACTTAAGAATATAGAGCACCTAATTTTCATTTTTGAATTAAAACCGAGAACAAAACAGAAATTTAAAGAGTAAAGTGAAACCTAGAATAACTACGAATATTTTAAATAGATACACAATTTTTTTATTAAATTTTCAAAAAAAATTATGTAGATTATGTAGGTTTATATTGAAAATTTAGGAACTAGAATTAATGAATCCTGAAATTAAATTATAATTCATACTGTATAAATATGTATAAGTAACTATCTACTTCAAAAACACTTTATAACTTTAATGCAGAAAAGCAACTAACATAGAAAATATACAAAAAAACCCATATACGAGTATTAGCTATAATTTTAGTTAGATTAATATTGAAGGCAAAACAATATTATAGAAATAAAAGTATGTAATTTTATTATATTTAATAATCCTTTGGTTTTTTGTGTTATTATATCTCTTTAATTATAACCAAGCCTTACAAAAATTTATTGTAAAGTGCACGCAATATTTTTATTACTATACACAGAAAAAAAAATTGATAAGAGAAGGGTTAATATTGAAATAGAAAATTATTTTTATTTTACTTACTCTTTTTACATACTCACCATCATTTATGTAATTTTTTATTAAAATTAGATCATTCTTCAGTTAAAAGTTGAACCATTATGTTACATCTTCTTCTTCCTTAATTACTATTTAATATGGATATAATGTACAAGGAATTGAGATAGTTTAAATAAAATGTAATTAAATATAGTTATAATTCAGAAAAGTGTTTATATTTATTATTTTATATTAGTACATATTCAATATTAAATAATTCAAAGAAATTAAACTTTAAATATTACATTATGTACATAACGTAAGACCTTATAAAAATTATTTACTCTGATCTTTAATCATTTAAAATTTCAATATTATATACTAATTTTTGAATAGCATAAATATATATTAATTTCAATTATTAAAATAATAAGTATTTTCATATTTATTTTCCAACACAATTATACGTGTAATCGATAATACAGTTACAAATTATTTTTCATTTGAATATTTCTAGAAATCCAGTTTTTCATTAAATAAAGTTACTTATTCTGTTCAAAATTTTCGATTTTAAACTAAAATCAAAATCAACAATTGAAATTTATTTTATTACACAAATGCCAAAAAATTTTCACAATATACTATCTTTTTAACATTATATCTACAACTGCTGACATCTGTTGGCAACATTAAAAATTATAAAAGAACTCAAAGCGAAACAAATATCTTATGCATATTATAAGTTCAAAATTCTTTTATTTTTTTTGAACCTAATGCTAACACTATTAGTAATTATTAATTAACTTAAAAATAATTTATAAAATTGTAATTAAAATCATTTTCCAAATTATAATTTTGGAGTTGATATCTGATGATCTAGATGATTTTTTAAATTCAATTCAGTACAAGTAATATTTAGGCCGTTACCCCAATATGTCAAAGATTTGACGATCATGTTAATGACGTCATTCACTTGACTTTGCAAATGTCAATCATCCGAAATTAAGCAATTTTTGCAATTGACATTTTAAAAAATTATTTAAAAACACTTAATATCCATCGAATGACGATATTTATTTCCAAAAAATTATCATTTTTATTTATCTACTTAAATTAAATTAATCAAAGAAATAATATTTAGAAATTAAATAATAATTGTGTTAAGTAAAAAAATAATCGTGAATATATTCAAATATATATAAGTATATATATAAATGATATGTAAAATGTAATTTTTTAAAAAATTTAAATTTTATAAAATGCACAAAGAAATATATTTTTAGTGTTTTTTTTCATTATTTATGAATGAATAAATAAATTTATTTTATTGAAATGTTGGCAAAGATCCAAAACGAAAGAAACAAAACAAAAAACAATTCATCAATACAACAGAAAACCTTCATTACAAAAAAAATATTCCCAAAATTGTTCATTCATTCATTTTATTTAATAAACATTTTAATTACAAACATGTTTTAATTTTTCGTTTTTTCAAATGTATAGCAGGCATATGGCTATTTTTGGTATTTTAGTTAAATTTATTTAAAATGTAATTAAATTAAAAAAATTCTCTGTAATTTTGTGTAAGATAATAGGAAAATTCTTTAATGATATGCTCGCATAAATAATTTATAAATCAAATAAACCTATCGACGGTTTCAGATAAAGCTATCGTACTCAAAACCATAAGTTTTCGATAGAGCAAAAAAAATTTCTCATTTTGATATAATAAAAATATCGCAATGAAATAAGAGGGAAAATATTTCAAATACTTTTTTTAATAGATCCAGCTAAAAATTTAATTATTTCATTTTAATTAAACTATTTGAAATTGGAATATTCCAAATTACCAAAAAATGGGAGTTTATACTGTAAGTTGAGAAGCAACCGCGAAGTAAATAACATTTTTAGTGCATTTATATACTAAAATTAACTTTCGAACAACTTAGAACAAAAGTTATTCAATATTTGTGAAATTTCTATCGAAGCTAGGGGTACAAAAATTTATAGGTACATGAATATGCTGCTCTAGAGCATTTGCAGAAGCAGGGAAAACTGCTTTATTGCAAGGCTACTTAGAATAGTGATATTTGGAACTGTCGAATATAAATTTTAATATTATATTAATTTTATTTGCAGACATATTTTCAATCGAATAAGTAGTTTAATTAAAATATAAAAAACAGGCATATTGTAACTATAATTAATTCATAATTTTTTTAAATACCTAGATAAATTTTTAAAAACATTTCTTTTGCCCTAAATATTTCAATTAAATTTATTGTATAATTATGTTTTTTTTTTGTTTTAGCCAATGAAAAAGCACCCGTTTGTTTAAAAACAGCTGCTCTTGCAATTGATGAAACAAAGCAAGCATTAACAAAAATGCGTTGTTCAAATAGTCCTAGAGACAAAACGTAAGCACCTTATTACATAAGAATATTTTAAGTTTGGATATTTTGATTTAGTTTATTTTCACATTTTTCATGAACTTCATTATATTTCCTATGTTTTTCTTTTGTCTTTTTTTAGAATTTTTTCTCGTACTTTGATTGCTGCTTGTACAGACAATGATGTTAATACTGTAAGACGTTTATTAGGTAAAGGGAATATTGACATTGATTCAACTGATGATGGAGAATCATTATTATCAATGGCTTGCTCAGCTGGTTATTATGAACTTGCACAGGTACAGTAAATTAAATAACTATTAAAATAAAAATTTATATATTATAATATATATTTTGCTTTCTATATCTTATACAAATTCTTTATTTTTAATAACAATATAATAATAATAATAATAGTAATAATAATAACAATAATAATGATAGATAAAAAAAACATCATAAACAAATAATAAATACATCACCTTATTTATAAATAGAGGACCTTCATTACAATTTTCTCTATTAAATTTCTTATTTTTTTTATGATCTTTTATTTTGAATATAATATGTACATAATTATATGTACTTGTATAGAAACATTTGGTTCCATGTAAACACATACTCCTATTTTTCAATATAATCTGTGAATTCTCTTTGTTTGTGACCATAAAATTCTTTTACTCTAAACTTTCTACATGTTTGTGTAGAAAATGCCAATTTTATTATGAATGCCCTTTAGATTCCAGATCACCGTAAAAACTTGGGCATCATTTAAGAATAATATTTTAACACTAATTAATTAAAGCTTTTATCTTAAAAAATCCAATAATTGTCTAATAATTATTTTATTATAATTTTATACTCTCTTTATGAGAATTTTACAAGATTAATTAATAATTTTCTGAATCTATATTTTCCGAGATCAGTTGAATTCTCTGTTCTCGCTTAATTTTAAATATGATATAAATAATATATTTTAATACAAATTTGTATTTCAAGTTTAATTTATGTAATTATATATTTTTGAATTTTTCTATTGAATCATTTAGTTTAAAATTGGATATAATAGCTTCTAAACTGAAATTAATTTATGGCAACCTATCACGTCCTTGAATTCATAGTAATTTTTATATTTTGGTTCCATATTAAAGTTCTGCACTTCTTATAAAAAACTTATATATAACAAAACACTAATAATAAGCCATTTATACAACAAAAACGGTTTTAAGAGCTTCTCAAAAACTTATTTTTACATTATTTAAATATAAACAATTACAACAAAAATTTCAATTGTTTATATTTTAAGTAATTTTACTTATTTTTTATTTATTTTAGGTTTTATTAGCCATGTCTGCCGCTCAAGTTGAGGATAAAGGACAAAAAGATTGTACACCTCTTATGGAAGCTGCGTCGGCAGGTCATTTAGATATTATAAGATTACTTTTAAGTCATAATGCTGATGTAAATGCACAATGTACCACTGGCAACACACCTTTAATGTTTGCATGCGCTGGAGGACATGTGGAAGTTGTTAAAGTACTATTATCGCATGGAGCTCATGTTGAAGATCAAAATGAAAATGGCCATACTCCTTTAATGGAAGCAGCTTCAGCTGGACATGTTGAAGTAGCAAAGGTAAAAAACAAATATTTTCTAATCTTCTATTAATTAGTTTTGTTTAAAAATGATTAGAATCCGAGATATGACATTTTAATTTATCTTATTTAATTTCTAAAGTTAACATTGAAATTAAAAATACGAGATATTTTAAATAATGATATTTTTTGATCTTATCTGATTTATTCCTTTTTTTGAAATTTTTATTGATTTTGTATCTGTAAAAAACTAAAGTATATTCAATTTTACTTAAGGTTTTACTTGAGCATGGAGCTGGTATTAATACACATTCAAATGAGTTTAAAGAGAGCGCATTGACCCTAGCATGCTACAAAGGTCATTTGAATATGGTTAAATTTTTATTAGAAGCAGGTGCTGATCAAGAACATAAAACTGATGAGATGCACACTGCATTAATGGAAGCTTCAATGGATGGCCATGTAGAGGTTGCCCGTTTGTTATTAGATTCGGGTGCTCAAGTAAATATGCCAACCGATTCATTTGAATCTCCTTTAACATTAGCAGCATGCGGAGGACATGTTGAACTTGCGACGCTTTTAATTGAACGTGGGGCTAATATTGAAGAAGTTAATGATGAAGGTTATACGCCTTTAATGGAGGCAGCCAGAGAAGGGCATGAAGACATGGTTGCTCTTCTACTTATGAAAGGAGCAAATATTAATGCTACAACTGAAGAAACTCAAGAAACAGCTTTAACTTTAGCTTGTTGCGGTGGTTTCACTGAAGTTGCTGAGTTTTTAATAAAACAAGGAGCGAATTTGGAACTTGGTGCTTCAACACCTCTTATGGAAGCAGCCCAAGAAGGTCATACTGAATTAGTGCGTTTTCTTTTAGAAAACGGGGCTAATGTTCATGCTCAAACTCAAACTGGTGACACCGCTTTAACACATGCCTGCGAAAATGGTCACACAGATGCGGCAGAAGTTTTACTATACTACGGAGCTGAATTAGAACATGAATCAGAAGGTGGAAGGACACCATTAATGAAAGCATGTCGCGCAGGCCATGTCTGCACTGTAAAGTTTCTTATAAGTAAAGGAGCGGATGTCAATAAAGAAACAGCCAGTAACGATCACACTCCCTTATCTTTAGCATGTGCCGGAGGACATCAAGCGGTTGTTGAACATTTACTCAAGAGTGGGGCAGATCCTTTTCATAAACTAAAAGATAATAGCACAATGTTAATTGAGGCTGCAAAAGGTGGACACATACGCGTGGTTGAGACTTTATTTAAATATCCACAATTTTTACAAAATCACCAAAATGAATTACAAGCTAGTAATATATCAAGTAATGCAGCAGCTGCCGCTGCTGCAGCTGCAGCAAATGCTGCAAGCCAAATACAGCTATCATCAATGAATTTGCAACAGCAAAAACAATTACAACATCAATTACAACAATTAGCTGCTCCACCTGGTTTACATGAAGTTCCTGAAGCTGTGCGTGTTTCAAATCAACAAATATTTCAACACCAGCAACCACCATCGCAACAAACACAAATGCAACAACAACAATTTCAACCTGGAGATCTTATAGACGATCAAATAATTGCAAATACCACAGCTGCTGATAACAATGGTTTTGTAGGATTAGTGGACACATCGGCTGCAGTAGTGGGTGGTACAAGTGGTAATTCAAGAACATCGCAACAAGAAGAAGCTCTAATTGCTAAAATGCGACTCTTTCAATTACATGCAGGTTTTGAAGATGGTTTAGCTCATGGTTTATCACGTACTCAACCAGATGTCTTAAATCAAATAATAAATAATGTAAACGCATCGAACACAAATAATAATGCATCAAATGCAACAAACTTAATACAACAAACGACTAACAACAATATTAATACTGTTACCGCAAATCAATCAAATAATTTGATTGCATCTGGTACCAATAACAATAATAGTACTTCAGTATCAACCGCGACATCAATATCGACAACGAGTAAACAAAAGAGTGTTTTACGAAAAAATCGATTACCACCATTATCATTCGAACTAAATTTAACGAGTTCAGAGGCTCAACAAGTGCGCTCCCAACCATTGGGAGAAGATGACAGCAGTTCTTTAGGTGTAACAAATGTAGCTGCCAATCTTCCAAATATTAATCCAAATAATTTAATTGTTGGAAACGATGAACAAATGCCGCAGCAGCATCAACAACAGCAACGACGTAAAATAATGGAAGAATTTCAAAAGGTAAGGGAATTTAAGTATATATATTTAATATATATATGTTTATATATATATATACATATATTTAAGTTTGTTTATATTTGTATATTATGCGTATTTATTATTTATGCCAAACTCTAAAATTAAAATATATTTCAGAAAACTAATATTCAACTTGTTTGTGAAGGGAATGGTCCCCCGCCATCACTTTTACCTTCAGCTTACGTTGATATAACAACCGCATCTACACAAGGTAAGATTTTCTTAATACATAATATTTAAGGGTTTTAAAATAGGATATCAAATGATTTATTCATATTTTTTATTTTTACAAATACTCGTTTAAAATAAACAATAAAGTACACTAATTTTTTTTTGAAGGAAAATATTTTTTTTATCTCTTCATGCTCAAAAAATATTTTTATTTAATTATTGTTTTATCCTGTATTATGCTCGCTGCTTAGGGATAATTTGCAATACTGGCGGAATGAATTTTACGCCCTCCAATGGGACACCCATATTTGGAGCTGTTCCAAATGGAGCTACTCAGCAGATGCAGCCAGCTTCGCTTGCCACTTTTGCTGCAGGCAAGTTTTTATAATTAATACACACCATAAAATCAACAATAAAATATTACACGAGCTTTGATTAATATTGTATTATAAGCCCTTTACCATTCTTACATGTTTTTATCAAATTCAAAATTACTTACACAGATTTCCAAAAACATAAAAAGAATTGTTGTAGTTGATGTAGATATTCAAATTAATTAAAAATTTATGGATATGATTATATTTAATATATTGATTATACATTTACTAGAAAGTGAAATTCGTTCTACATGCTCCTAATCTACAAGGAGAATGTATATAAAATTTTACTACTAAGCTCTGCATACTAAATGTATACAGAGCTTAAGCTAATAATTAAGGCCAATCTTTTATTATTTAGTTTTATTTAACAAAAATATAAAAATAATAATGATATTTATAAATAAAGCTGTATCAAATGCGCCCACGATCTTCTCTGGAACCGGTTCAGTTGCTACAACAACATCGACACAAATAACAACACCATCTGAAGTATCCCAAAGTACTGCAATAAGCGACAGGCCTAAAGTAAAACCAGTTTCTAAGAAAGACGCCAAGAATTTGAGAAAATATGCTGCTGCAGCTCAATTGCAGCAGCAACAACAACATCAGCAACAACAGCAACAATTGCAACAACAACATCAACAACAATTACAACAGCAGCAACTTCAACAACAACAACAGCAAATACAAAATCAGGCGGTAATTGATTGTTGGTTAACTGAATGTATTGCATATTAATTTATTATTTTATCGTAGCCCTTGCTAATGACTACTGAACCAAACAGTTTTCAGCAGCAACAGCAACATACCATAGGTCAAACTATTAATGTAAGTGGTGGAGCTATTAGTAAATTACAACAGCAAACTCAGCACCAACAACCACAAACTCAGCATAACCCAAGCGTTATATCTATTCCAAAATCGATGCAAACCGTTATTGATAACAATGGAACACAAAATCAAATCCAGCAAACAACTTTGCATCAGATACCTTTATCTCAATTAGCTAATACTAAAAATACTTCAGTTCTCCAAAATACATGGTAAGTCTAATATAACAAACTTTATATTTCTCTCAATAATATTTCGATTTCTGTTTAGTTCCAACAGCAATTCAATTGCTATATCGTCTGCAACTGGAAGTGGTTCCAATTTAGTTAGCGCTTCAGTCGTTCCGACTAATGCTAATACAACTCCTGAAGGTTTTAAACATTATGAGGAAGAATTAAAAAGATTAGCTTTCAAAAAAGAGTATCAGTGGAATAAAAAAATGTTGCAAATTTTTTCTCAAATATCAGATGATCAGTTAAATCAACTACCAAAAGTAGTTCAAGGTTTCATGATGGGTTTAAGATTGCAACAACAAGCACAACAAACTCAACAACAATCTCTCGAGCAAGAACCCCAAGAACAAATTCAATTACAAGCTGAAGAAAAACAGCATCAAGATGATTTACCAAAATCGCCTACTTTGGAAACTATTCCTTATACTGATTCAAGTAATAGTGGTGTAGTTTCTAATATAACTAATACGCTAAATGCTGCTATTGTTGCTTTTGAAGCTTCTGCAAATGCCCATAATGTGGAAGATCATTCAACAAAAGTAGTTTCAAACAGCGTTATGAATGAAGATGAAGAGTTAACTTCTATTGAACCTATTTGTCCTGACGATTCTTTAATGATTGCTGATGAGAAACAACAGCTTCAAGATCAGCAAGATAACATACAAGATGCCCAACAAGAACAACAAGTGATTGAGGAAATTGAAGACGTTGATGATGAAGAAGAAGGCGACGATGCGGAGGACGACGACGATGAAGTGGATGATGAGGAAGAAGATGAAGATGAAGAAGACGAAGATGAAGATGACGTAACAGAAGATTTTCCAACTAAAAGCAGAAAATTATCTCATCATTTGGAAAATTTAATTTATTCTAATGTATCTTTGAAAACGGGTGATGCTGCAGATTTTGTCGATATTTCTCGTGCATTAAGAGATGCAGTTCATGATTTTCGCCCTGAGTTAAGTTCAACAGGAATTGTAAAAGTTCTACAACCAAATAACAATATATTACAACACAATAAGGCAACTGTTAATCTGAACAACGTAATGCAACAACAATTCACTATTGGAAAATATCAGGGTATGTTATAGAAATTGTAATTCTGTGATAGATTTCATTTTAAGTTTTTTCTTAGACTCATTTACAGCGCAACCCGATGAACAGTTCCGTTTATACCCCGTTGAAGGAGCTGACGATGAAGCAATTGGTGATTGTATTTATCCTTTGAGTGAATCTTTGGAAGGCTTTACAACTGATGCAGATGATGCTACGAGAGATCAGATATGTAGTTACGAATTGGGTCTTGGGGAATGTATGGAAGAATTCTTTAACGTTTTCCAAAACGTGAATGACCCAGCTTTTCACGTAATTTAACTTTTGTTTTAAAAATTAGATTTTTTTGTCAATATTATTTTCGATAACACAGGAATTAACATCGAATCTTAATTGCTCCGAGTTTGCTGAGTTTGGGATTAACTCATTTTGTAAGACTCGCTGGGCTGGACAATGGGTACAACAGCCACAAAGTCAAGATATAATGACTCAGGGTGCTTGTATAACTGAAGAACAACAGCAACAGCAGCAAAGCGAACAGCGTCAAATATTATTAGACCAACAAATGTTGCCGAATCGATTATCAATAGAAGAAATGCAAATATATAATCAACTTCAGGTAGAATATAAATTTTTTATGTTGCATATTTTGATACTATGTTTTTTTGTTAGAATCAACAAGCCACACTTTCATTGGTGCCCTTACAATCTGATGAACAGCAACCTCCTAACATTGGAATTCAAACACTGCCACCATCATCGGTTCAACAACAAACCATTAACCAAAATAATACAAATGTTACATTACAGCAAGCAAATGGTTTGCACATACAACAAACTCAACAAATGCAACAACAGCAAGCACAGCAATTATTATCTAGCCTTTCTAACGAAGCTCAGCAGGCAAAATTCTTGTTTAATGTTGATTCCGATAAACCATCGCCGTCTCTTCAACTATTATTCCAACTTCCACCAGTTCAACAAGGCCAACAGCAGCAGCCAGCTGCAATAATTACAGCACAACAACAGCAGCAACAGCAACAACATCAAACCGTAATATCAACCAATCAGGTAATTGAAGATTTTAGAAGCCATAATATAAATTTATTTAAATAACTTTGGTGGATTTGCATATAAAAAATTTTTTTACAGCAACAGGCACTACTTGCACAGCAACAGCAAAGTTTACAGCAGCAATCGCAGTTAAATTTAAATCAACAACAATGCGTCCAACACGCTCAAGTAAGTTTAGCTAGACTAATATTCTTAATGAGAAAATTTTATTCGGATTAAAAAATTGTTTTTGTAATTATTTATGTAAATTATAGCAAGTTCAGGTAGCGACTCAAACACCACAACAACAAAATATACCTGGAAATATGATAACAACCGGTACAACGCAGTTTTGTGCTACGGTAACGCCTACTATGGATGGTAACGCTTTAAATATTCAACATAGTCATGGTTTGGCAACTGGTACCACAGGGGTTGGAAAGTCTAGCTCATCAAAAAAGACTCTTGATAAAATATCCAGAAAAGACAGAAACAGATACACTGTGATGCGCCAAACTCCTGCCGGCAGTCAAGGTAAATTCTTGTCTAATGCAGCATCAACAAATTTTAACATCTTATTTTTTTATTAAATACTAATTATATATTATATCCATAATAATGTCGAATCTCACTTAAATTCTGAAACATATTTGATCCATCTTTTTTAATATAGCTAATACTACAACTCAACAATACACCACTCAACAGGCAGGAACAATTGCTACTGTTACGCAAGATAAAACTATAGATGTTGATTCTGAAACTGATTCGAACCATGATACAGCATTAACATTAGCATGCGCTGGAGGTCATGAAGAGCTTGTTGAGTTACTCATTAGTCGTGGTGCAAATATTGAGCACCGTGACAAGAAGGGTTTTACTCCTTTAATACTTGCAGCAACTGCCGGACATGAAAAAGTTGTTGATATTTTGCTAAAGCATGGAGCAGAACTGGAAGCTCAATCAGAAAGAACTAAAGACACACCCCTATCGTTAGCATGTTCTGGTGGCCGATATGAAGTGGTTGAACTTTTATTAAGTGTTGGAGCTAATAAAGAACATCGCAATGTATCTGATTACACACCATTAAGTTTAGCAGCAAGTGGGGGCTATGTAAATATTATCAAACTGCTTCTAAGCTCTGGTGCTGAAATTAATTCAAGAACTGGCAGTAAATTAGGTATCTCACCATTAATGCTGGCTGCAATGAATGGTCATACTGCTGCCGTAAAACTTTTGTTAGATATGGGTTCTGATATAAACGCTCAAATAGAAACAAATCGTAACACTGCTTTGACCCTTGCGTGCTTTCAAGGTCGTCATGAAGTAGTTAGCTTACTTTTAGATCGAAAAGCAAATGTTGAACACAGAGCTAAAACAGGCCTTACACCATTGATGGAAGCAGCTTCAGGTGGATATATTGAAGTAGGTCGGGTATTACTAGATAAAGGGGCTGATGTTAACGCTGCTCCAGTTCCTACATCACGTGATACTGCCCTAACAATAGCTGCTGATAAAGGTCATTTGAAGTTTGTCGAGCTGTTATTGTCAAGACGAGCTGCAGTAGAAGTAAAAAATAAAAAAGGAAATTCACCATTGTGGCTAGCAGCACACGGTGGTCATTTGGCTGTTGTTGAAGTTTTATATAACCATGGTGCTGACATTGACTCACAAGACAACAGACGTGTTTCGTGCTTAATGGCAGCATTCCGAAAAGGTCACACAAAAGTTGTTAAGTGGATGGTGCAACATGTCACCCAATTTCCGTCTGATCAAGAAATGACTCGTTTCATAAGCACAATTAGTGACAAAGAGTTATTGGAAAAGTGTTACGATTGTGTAAAAATAATTCGTGCCGCTAAAGAAGCACAAGCAGTTAAAGCAAACAAAAATGCGTCTATATTGCTTGAAGAATTAGATATGGAGCGAACCCGAGAGGAAAGTCGACGTGCTGCGGCAGCACGCCGTCGTGAGCGTAAAAAGAAAAAGAAACTTGAAAAAAAAGAAGAAAAACGTCGTTTATTAGAAGGTATGTGTTTTTATTCAATTTCACCCATAAAAAATATACACTTTATTAGTCATTTAAAAAAGTATTAAACATTTATTAAATGTTATAGAAATTGCTTATTAAAGATTATTCTTTTAATTAATTACAAAAAGTTAGGTTTCATTTCAATTGAAAAAGTATTAAAAATATGGCAAATTATAAATTGGAAAAAAAAACATTTGATTATAAAAAGTTTATTAAAAATTCCATTTCTCAAAATGAAAATATAGTGTAAAACTAAATTTATTGTCCTTTACTGGTTCTAAAATAACATCATAGCTACTAGTATGTGGTTTAAAGTAAAATGATTTAAATTTAGAAATATTGTATCTCGTGATAAAAACTTATGAAACTTTTTACAAAATTTAATGATGATACAATATACTATTATAATATTATATATATTAGAGTATATAATAGTCTATTGATGATACTTAATGGTTCGACAATAGTATAAGCAAAAAAAATAAAAAGAAAAAAAACTAAATAATTTTGAAAACTAGTAACTTTAATTTTATATTAGAATTGCTAAAAGGGCAAACATATAGGTTTCAATTTGCTATTTTAGAGATCCCAAAAGTAAAACATGAATCAAAAGTAATTATAAGAAATTATTGACAACTATTTAATTATTAAAGGTAATAATCCAGAAATGGAAGATAACGCGAATGGTGAAGACAAAGATGATGACAAAGATAGTGAAAAAGAGGAAGAAAGTGATAAAGAAGAAGGCAATGTTGAAGATGTTCGAAATCGTGAGGAAGGAGATTCTGGAATAGATCAAGGCTCTTGCTCTAGTAGCGATGTGAAAGCAGCCGCTGTTCAAAATGATAAACCTAACAAGAAAAAGAACAATAAGAAGAAAAATAATAAACAACAACAAAAGCAAGAAAAAGAATCGACCTCTTCAAAGGAAAAAGATTCCAGGGCATCCAGTAGTCCAATACCTTCAACAGCTGCGCAACAAGATGATTTGCCATTAAATCAATCCAGCCAAGGTAAAACAAAAAACAAGAAACAACCACAAGATGATACAGCAAACAGACTAAGCAAAAAAGAGCAGCAAAAATCAAATGTTACTACAAATGAACCAAAGAAATCTGTTCAAGTAGATCAGCAGAAAAAAGACGACTCAAAGAAAAAAGAAGTTTCAGCATTACCTAATAACAAAGACTCTTCTAAACAAAATAGAGAGAAGGAAAAAGAAAATGTAACTCCAAAAGAGGAAAGTCATCAGCAAGTAAGCAGTAATACGCATCATAGCGCGGTACCGAAACCACAAAGTAAAGCATTAACCGACAAAAAACTTAATAACGAGAATTACCAAAACTTTGTACAACCACAATATCATCAGCAACAACAACCTCAACAGTATCAACAAAAGTCGCATGGAAACGAAACTCAGCGACGTTCAATAATATTTTCTCAGAGACATGTTAATGAAAAATTGGATGAAAAATCAATTTCTGATCATACCTCTATTAAATCAAGCCCAAATAAACCACTTCAAATAAGTAAACGTGGCGAAGATGGATGGAAAGAGGTTATACGTAAAAGCTCTACACAAACTCCTGGTTTAGCCGAAATTCCTTTAACAAGTACCGCTACTTCCAGCAGCAGTAGTAGTTTTGGAACTAACAGTAGCACCGTTAGTACTACTAGTAAACCAGTAAATGAAATTACTTGTAAAAAAGTTCAAGTACCAGTAAATGCTATATCTCGAGTCATTGGTCGTGCAGGAAGCAATATAAATGCTATTAGAGCCACAACTGGAGCTCATATTGAAGTTGAAAAGCAAAATGGTGGAAAAACACAAGTTGAACGATGTATTACTATTAAAGGCCTAGCTGAAGCAACTAAGCAAGCTCATATGCTAATTACAACTTTAATCAAAGATCCTGACGTGGATATTTTGCAAATGTTACCAAAAGTAAATCCTAATGCCACTAAACCTCCTCCACCATTAATGGTCCCATTCACTTGGGAAAAGAATCCGTCTAACAATAGTGGGCAACCATCGGCTTCATCTGCTGTGTTTGGTGGACCAAGTAATATGGCAAATAATTCGGCAAATGTTTCATCAAATACACAAAAGCCAGCCAAAACAACAACTCTCATGAGTTCATCGATGTCGAAATCTTTAACAACGACTGCTAATATGAATAAACCTTGTAAAACTCAAATGTCTTCAAATAATCAAATAAAGGGCAACACTTATATGGGAAATTCTTCTAATTCAAGATCCTCAACGAATCAGTCAAATCGCGCATCAACCCATGATTATTCTTCTTTATCACAAAATAAAAGAAATAGTGGCGAAAATTTATCAAACACAAAGACAACAATGTCTTTTACAAATGCTGTTATGTCGTCCAAAAATTCTCAATCAAAGACAAACAATAATATTGGTCAAGCTACATTTGCAGCCAAATTGTCATCGGGGGGCAATCAACATTCTGATAAAAAGAGTAACACTGGCCAGCATATTTCAAATCAAATGTCCGCAAGCTTTAACTCATCGCCAAAAAAGAATTACAATAGCGCAAGCACGTTTGAAGTTGGTACATTTGTAGTACCGACAACTATGGCTCAGCCACGCAAAAGTAATTTTTTTTTCAACTTTGTTATATATATATACGTATAAAGTAACAGCATTATATTATGTTATTCAAATCCTTTTAGGCAATGTTGGCTCGTCTCATCAAAGTATAGCATCATCAAGCAATTACGGCATGGATAATTCTAATATAAGTGGTCCAAATACTCAAGGAAATTGCGGCACAGGCCGATCACTTACTCCTATTGGGCATCCAATAAATTTAAATAACCGCACAGTTTCTTCGTCACCATCCTTCGCGGCAGCAGCAGCCGCTGGGACTATGTCAATGCAACAGCACTACCAAAACCATCAAGGTTCAAATATGCGTAACATTGTGGGTGGCGATTCTATGACATCAGCATTATCGATTAATACATCTATGGGTGCATCAGTGTCTGCCAATTCATCTCTCGCAATACAACCCTCATCCAGTGCTGGCATAGTGTCACAGTTACATAGTTCATCTGCAAAAATTAGTCATGAATATACTTTATTTAATGATTCTTACCAAAGTCAGTGGGAGTCTAAACAAATAATGTACAATAATAGTTCTAATGATACTTTGCCGAAAATTGACGCTTCTAAGGCTCCAGGATACAATCGGGGCAACGTAATGAGCTCGCCAGTCAGTTCCAAAACGTCAAGCAATTCAACAACACCACCGGGTATGGTCAATAATAATGTTGGCACTATTGGGCAGCAGCCAAATCCAAATATGTTATCAAATGGTAAAATATTTATATTAATAAAAATATGTAATACATGGTAATATGAAATTTTATACAAAAATTTTATAGTTTCGTCAATGTCACCAGGCAGTTGTGCTGGTTCGCAATTGTCTAGTAACTCAACAAATTCGTCTCAAAATCAACAAGTTCAGCAACAGCAGCAGGTTCAATCCAACACTAACATCGATATAGTTTCTAATAGTAATGTTATTGGAAGCAATGCAAATTCCACTGTTGGAACGAATGACATATCAAATATTTTGAAACCGAACACGTCACAAAATATTAATGTTCCACCACCACCACCTCCAATTGGTTCGTCAGTGTCAGGCTTAGCTGTACAAAGACCATTGAATCGTCAATCTCAGCATCCACCAGTGGAAACGAATAATAACACTACTAATAATTTCGGGCCAATCGGTCCAAATACAAATCGGACTGCAAACATCAGTGCAAGTAACAATGATCCAACGCAACACAGTTTAAATCGAACAAGTAGCGCTTATTATGATCAGATGAGTTCACAAGTAAATTACCAGCAAGACAACTTACAAAATCAATTTCATCCAAATTACAATACTTCTGCTACAACGAATCCGCTACATATGTCGCGGTTGAACCCGAGGGCATCAGTTTTCTCAAATAAAGCAAGTCAACAGCAACAACAATCTCAGCAACAATCTCAGCAAATGTACCAAGGAGGTAACGTAGGCAATACTGGAACTGCTGGTGGTTACCAGCAAAAAATGGCTCCTGGTCCGATAGGTTCGCAAGCTCCAGGTGCTAGTGGCGGAGGTGGTAGTAATTCAGGTTTGTACAATCCTGCGCCTGGGCGACCCCAATCCCAACCTCAAGTTGGTTCTAATCAAAGATGGTATCCAAGCAACGAATATTCCAGTTATATGTCAACATCTCGTGACTTATTAGGTTTGGATAATGGTATTGGTGGAATGGGCGCGGGCAACTCACCTGCTTCAATGTCACCAAATAATCAACCAAATGGTATTATGACCCAGCAGCAAGCTGCTTTGAATCAAGCATCTCTGGCGCCTCCACAGCATCAACAACAAAATCAAACTCCATGTCCTCCTCAGCCAATTTCAGACGATAATAGAAAAATACCTCGCCCAATTGGAACTGAACGAGCAAGCTGGAAACATAATATTTACTCTATGGATGACATGAATACTCCGCAAGTTCCCATGAATTTAATGGGAACTGGAGCTAACGCTGCTCTAGGTGGAACTTGTTTTGGGCCAAATTTAAACACAAACATGGGAAATTTACCTCCCTGGATGATGGATAAAACTCAACATCAAACACATCAAGCAATGCAACAACAACCGCAGCAACCACAACAGCCTCAACAACAACTAAACTGGAACAAAAATCAACAACATACAAGATATTATGATATAAACCAACAACAACAAGATCATTTTCATGTAACTATTTTTCAAATTCTACATAAGTTTTTCATATTGTTTAAAAAGTAAAAACTATGTTTCATTTTCCTATTAATATTTTTAGTTGCCATTAGATTATAGCGTACCACCACCGAATGTCACTCCAGCTATTAATTTGATGCCACCATATCAGTACGCTCAACTTCCAGGAAATTATTTACCAACCGTAGATTATCTACCAGATAAAGTTGAATCATGGGAACAAAACGATAAACATGTAATTAATAATTTCTTTTTGTTTTTTGTAATTTAAGTTAAATTAATTTGTCATTTGGTTACAGGGCTGGTCAGCTAGTTGGACAAATTAAAGTAAATAATTAACAGAACATACTTGAATTTAGTAATACCTACAAGATACTTCGTACGACAAATTGAATATTGTGGGAAATTTGAAATCTAATATACTTATTGATATGTCTAAAAATTTATATATTCATTAATAATATATATACATATATATACATACATATTTTTTAGTTAAGTACTATAGGATTATTTCTTTTGTTTAAAACTAGTGAGTTTAAATCAAATACACCTTTTAAATTTTTTTCAATCAACTACAGTTTAAATTTATAACAGTCCAAAATAACTGCTAAGATATTGTTAGGGTTTTTCTTTACTTTTTTTTTAAATTCATTGTTTTCTTTTGATATTACATAATAATAACACTTGAAATACAAAACATAAAAGAAGAATTAAATTTGAAATATAATTAAGATCAATTATTAAAAGTCGGATGAAATTGTAACAGGAAAATTAATCTGTATAATTATTTAAAAAAATATAAGAAAAAAAATTAATTTTTCCTTTTGCTGATAATTATTTTCTTTGCTTTCTGTTCAAAATTTTTAAACTTTGAAATATAGGTGATGGTAAAAAATGTCATTGCTACCAATTTAAAAACAAACTATTTTTCCAATACTTGATATTTGATTTATAAAATCGCGAAGGAAATCTTAAATGTTTCAAATAACATTGAAATTTTATAATTGAAAAATAAAATCGAACACTTCAAAAAAGATTAATTTCATTAAAAATCTGTCATATTGTTTTGTATGTATTCGATTTCCCATATTGAATAAAAATAATGAAATATCAATTTTTTAAAACACACAATTTTTTTTTTTCATTTTTGAAATAATCTGCTTCGAAGCTATAAAAAAATAAATAAATTTAATACTAGTAAAATAATAATTATTTTTCATTACAAACTTTTAAAAATACATATTTAGATTTCATTAAAAAGATATAACTATACAAAATTGGTCATTAAGTGTGAAAGATCTACTGTGGTATGTAACTGAATAAGAAAAAATACATTTGTTGTGAAACATTAATTTAAATGTTTTCTTATTTTATTGTCAAATCATACAAATTGCAGAATATGGACTAAAAATTTATTTACTTGTTATAAAAAATAACTAAACGCAAATGAGGGATGATAAATTGTTTACGATTAGATTACAAAAATGTATAAAAAACAATTACTTATTTTTTTGATACTGTCAAAATATAAAAAAAAAATTAACATATTTGTAATCTTGAAATACATATGTATAAAAAGAACATTATTATATACAATATAAAACTTAGATTTACAGAAACAATGTAGTAATAAAATTAAAATAGACAGCTTCATAAAAATTTCCTGCTCAAAATACAGGAAAAAATTAAAGTATGTAGTTGATTTTCCGCATTGAACACATAATGAAATGCCTATTTGGTAATTGTATAACTATACTAATTAAAAAAAAAAGCAAATTCGTTTTAAAAAAAAGAATCTGGAAAAAGTCTTTCAAAGAACAAAAAAACTTTAAACTAAAATAAATTAGTTGTCTTAAAATTAAATTTGAGAAATATTCTTTAAATAAATTAATATGCTTAAATATTTTTACGTTAAAATTTTATGTTTTATGTATGTTAAATACAAAATGTAACATTTACGATCTTCTTTTAATTTTATGATTTTTTATATAATTATCAATGGAAATTTCGTCGTTTAGCGAAAATAAAAATACAAATTTTAATTAAATATTAAAAATAATATCTCAAATATTATAAGTATAGAATATAAGCACAATTTTTATTAATACCGTGCAGCTCTATCATTTGAGATATTCCAGCGTTACATTACATTTTACAATTACAAAAGAAAACTATAAAAAAATAATTTTAAATTGTAGGGAAAACAGGAAAAAAAAAAATTTGCTTAAAAATAAAGCAAATATGCTTTCATCATCTAAACAATCTTTTTTGCATTTTTCCGTCTAAGAAAATATAAAAACTTGAAATGTTAACAAATTTGAAATAAATACATAGTTATAATTAAAAAATGAAAATTGAATTTAAAATATTTTCATTTTTGTAAACAAAAATCTGTTTTAAGAAAATGTTCTATAGGAGAGAATAAATGCTGTTCTATCTTAATTCAAATATTTTCTTAAATAATACATTTATTTTCTATTTTTAAAATTGATATTTTTTGTTAATTATATTTCTATTTTCTATTCAAGTTCCCACATTTTATGTATAACAAAACGAAGCTAAATTAAATTGAAATTTTTAAATTCACTAATCAGTTTATTTTGAAATATTTAATAAAAAAATAGTTTAATTGTTTTTTTGCAATTAGAAATTTGATTCGTTTGTTTTAATTTTATTTGAAATTTAAATAACGACGTTTCAAATCTTTTATTACAATATTAACTAAAATACATAATGGTAGTTATAACTATGCAAAATTTTTATTACAACTTAAAAAAATCCATAATTCACTTTTTATATAAGTACATTAAATAAAATTATATTAGTGGCATAGAAATGATGAAAAAATGAAAATTAATTCAAGTTACTAGCCAAAATTTAAATAAACGGTTATACAAAAAAAATAAAAAAAAAAAAAACAAAATAGAGAGAAAAACATTAAAAACTCAATTTTTATGGATGACAAATAAAAGTTAATTTTATTTTAATTTTAAAATTAAAATTTAAAAAAAGGAAATTAATAAAAGAACGACATTTAATTAATAAATTTTACCATATTTCAATATAATTATATATGTATATATATATAGATAAATAAAGAAAATTGCTTAGTTTTTTTGGCTGATTCATATACATATATACATATAAATAATATGCATAAATTGAAAATAAAAAATTTATTAAAAAAAATTTATTTAATTAAATTGAATAAATTAAACTATCGCCGTACCATTTAATTATATAACAAAAACAAAAATAACTAAATGTGGGCAAACAAAATAAAAAAGAAAAAAACATATTAGTAAAAAAACGACTTCATAAAAAATATTTTAGAAACATTTTTTTGTCAAATAATTTGTGTGACACAAAAAACGTTTTATAAAACTAAAATAAAAGAGAAAAATTATTAAACTTATCAATTTTTGGAAAAAAAAAATGCTTTAAATTCGTAAAAAAAATATAATATTGATGATCATGTATTAAATACATTTACATTAAAATATGTATATCTGGTTGAAAAATAGAAAATAAATAATATGAAAATTTTATAATTGGGCAATAAAATTTTCATATATTTATAAATATATATTTTTTTCCTATTTTGAATCAAATTTAATTCATTTTCTGTATTGTTATACATATTCATATACAAAAGAACAACACTTTTGAAATGGAGGCATAAAAATTATATAACACTTAAGTAATACAATATTTTTTTCTACCTTTTTTTTTTCTTGAAAAAATTGTTTAAAAAAAATTAAAATGTTTTCAATAATAAAATTAAATTAAAAATTTAATCTTTTATTATCGGAATTATAATTGTGTTTAAAGAAAAAATTTAATAAATATTCAATAAAATATTTCCCAATACATCAACATTATTGGCACTTTAATTATTGTATATTACATATAAAATATTTAATAATTATTTCTATATTTTCGTATTTAAGTTAATACAGTTCTTTCTGGTAATTTCTATCAGAACTGAATTTTTTATTTTTATTACATTATAATTTATTTGTTTTTTAATTTGCTTCTATACATTTTAAAAATTAAATAAAACGAATTATTTTCACTTGTATTTTTATTATTAATTTCATCATAATATTAAGAAATTGGGCAATCTTATATTTTTGGTGAGATTATACAGTATAATAAAAAAAAAATATATATTATTTATTTTGTATTTTGTAATGAAATATTTTGTTTTTTTATGTTTCCTTTTCAATAAACAAATTACTTACTTATTTACCTTTTAAATAAAATTTAAAATACAAATTTCCAGCTTTTCTTGCGCTATCACACGTAAAAGAAATAAAAAAAAAAAAACAAAAAAAAATTGATAAGTTAAGAAAAATGCAGTGCAGTAGAAAAACAGAAAATAAAATATAAAATGCTTATAAGATTTAAAATAAAATAAATTATTTATGATTAAACAAATTTATATTTGAAGAAAAATAAAATAAAACAAAACAAGAAAAAAAAAATAAGAAAATATTCTTAAGTTGCGACACAAAAAAAAAACTTTAATAAAAATTAAATAAAAAAGATAAAATCAAAATATAAACATACATTATGTATATATAAATATAAATATAATATATGTATATAAATATACATAAATGTATGTATATACATATATTTATATATTTATAAATATAAAATAAAAAATTTAAACCGAATTATCGTAGCAATTAATAAGTTTTTTTTAAATAATTTTCCGTTTTTTATCCTTTTTTTTAGTAGCTACGTAAAAAAAAAAACAAAAACAGCAAAAAAAAAAAAGAAAAATTTAAAATAAAATTTTTTTTGAAATATTTAGCATTATAAAAATTATAACATTGTATAAAAAATATTTTCAAAAAACAGAAACAAAAAAATTTTACAATTAAATAAATAATTAAAAAATTTAAAAAAAAACATATACATATATATATACACAATATATATTATTATGTATGCATAACATTAAAAAAATTCAAAGAAAAACGTGAATATAACAATTATACATAAAGTATAGAGTTTTTATATTGCAAAATTGCAATATATACATAAATATATTTATATTAATATGCATGTATAAAATATATATATATTTGTTTATGGAGTGTATGTTATTTTGCGAGATTGTTAAATTATATCTTGAGACTTATCACAAATCTCATACATTTTACTACTTATATATATATTGTGTGAATAAATATTAATATTAACATTTTTATGCTTTACTATGTTATATTTTATTTATTCACATTCAATATACATAATTTTATATTAATAACAATGTACATCCATACATATATTTCACAATATTTTAATATTTTATAAATGTATAAATGTAATATATAAGAAAAATTCAAACGTTTTACAAAACTACTAATGTTACACACACAATAAAGGACGTTTGCTTTTTAATTTTGATTGAATATTAAAATCTTACAAATAAAAAATAAATAAAACAAGAATTCAAGATTCACGAAATGTAGCAAAAAAAAATAATTAAAGAATAAATGAAAATTTAAATAATTAAAAAAAAATAATAAAAAAAAAACTTAAAAACAGAATTAAAAGAAAAAACTTACAATTCTACATACATATATGTATATACACAGAATATTATATATATATATATAAAATATATATATATATATATTTTACAGAATATATATATATTACAAAAAAAAAACAAAAAAAAATAAACAAACATATATGTTATATTGGAAGTAATGGATAGATTATTATATTATTATATAAAAATAAACAAAAAAAAAAAAGAAATAAAAAAAATATTAATTATTAATGCAAAAAAAGTAAAATGATTTAAAAATACCCTATTATTATTATATATATATAAAATATAAAAAAACAAATAAAAGGATAAAAAATAATTGATGTTTTTTTATTACATGCATACATATATTTTTTGTGCCATATTTAATAATTATTCTAATTCATAACTTCTGAACCTTAGTTTATATATTTTATAAGGTTGCAAATAATTTCTGTAATGATTCTTTGATCAAATTCCAGCAAAAATCATATGTGTGAGGGGGTGCAGATATACTCGATTTACAGCCTCTTAAATATTAAGATAGTTTGTAAATGCTAAATTTTCCAACTTCTCTTGGGCTCTCAAACGTAAAAAAAATTGAATTCGTGCAACATAGGGTGACTATTAGGCGCTTGTCTTAAAAATAATTGATAGATCTTTATTTTTGTTTTAACAATTAATTATGTCTGACCTTTAGATTTAGAGAAAACGCTATACAAAGTGATAATTTTGGATTTTTTTTTTGAAAATTCTTTTAAAAAACAGAAAATTTCTCAGAAATTTTTGTTATTATTGTTTTTGAAGTTAAGGTTCCCCATACAATATTTTTTTCAGTCTCATAGTTTTGCCAGTAAAACCTATTAAATGAGTTTAAGGTTGTGAAAAGTAACTATTTCATATCTTTTAAAGTAAAAAATCGAAGATGTCTAACCTACTAACCTACATACATATATTTATTTTCTAGTTTAGTTTTTGCAGTTCTAATTATATGTAGAAAAAAAAAGATTTTTAATTTTTGAGTAAGATTTCTAAAGTAAATAATCATACCTTTGTCTTACAATATCTTTTCGAAAATATAATGCTATGACCGGGAAATATGCATACATATGTACATATGTATATGCATGGGTACTCTTTGTACATATGAACATAGCTATAAAGAACGACGAAAATTCTTTACTGCTGCAAATTTTTTGTTTTCATTAGTAATTGTAAATTAAACAACTATATTCGACATTTATTGTATATTCAACATAAATATGCGTGTATTATGTAAGGATGTGTGTATATACATATGTACTTCGTTTTTGGTCCCTTTCAAACCCTAAAGTTTATTTAACAAAACAATGTATCTATGTCCCAAAATACAAACCTGTATAGAAAACGAATGTTTATTATACTACGTTAACGTTTACGAAAATAAGCACAAATTAATCATCCAGATAAATTCAAATAGGAAATATGAACTTTTTTTCAGGATCTACATATCAAATCAACAAAGTACAATATAAATTAGTGCACATGTAGGTATGTATATTGAAAATGTGGACCGAAAATCTTTGTAATGTACATACATATGTATATACATAAGTAGGTACCTATTTAGTCATATTCAAATCTTCAAAACTTTTACAATCATCTTAACCTTTTTACAGATGATAACCTTTAAAGACCTAAAAAGATGAATTATGTAAATTTATGTTTTAACAAAAAAATTCCGTCAAAATTATTAGTTAAAGGTTTTCAGCAAAATTCATAGACCTCTGATAGTTGGTGGTTGAATAAATTCATATTTCCAAAAAAAAAGAGCTATCGCGGTTATTAAACATAATTTTTACAATTTTTTATTTCATTTATATAAAAAATAATTATAATACAATTTTTTGCAAATAAAACAAATCAAAGTTATAATATTCACATTTTCAATTATGTATAATTAATTTGGCAATTCTTTTAAAATATTAGAAACTTATGAAATAAGTTTGTGCGACTTCTTTTATAGTTCAGTGTGCTTAAAAATCATTTTTTCTAAATCATCTTGAAGTTTTTCTACTTTTCTAGTTTGTTTCTTAATGTGATCATTCATTTCTTGAAATTTATCATGTTTATCATTTGATTTTTCTCTCTGGAAAATTTAATTTGAAAAATTTTTTAGTTTATCTCAATTTAAATACAAACCTTATGTTTTTCTTTTGTTAATGCGTAGTCTGCATGCAAATGTCTCAATTTTATGAGGCGAGATTCAAAATGACGTAATTCATGCTTTATGGAATCTAATTCCTTTTCAGTAAAGTTGGAAGCCATAGCCACACGCCACAGCCCTTGAACTTTTGGTTCTATAAATTCTTGGCTATTAGGACCTCTTGCAGTCAAACGTTCTAAACGTTCATAATGATCCTTGATTTCGCGATGAGTATCACGAAGTTTATTAATATTTCCCGAATAATCATTATGTTTATCAGCGCCGGGAATTTCATTATTATCTAAATTAGTAATCTCATTAAATATTTCTAGTTCGTCTTCGTTGACAGCATCTAAAAAAAAAAATACATATATGTAAAATAAGAAGAGCACATATGCATAATAATATTTTGTTACTTTCATGTTGCTCGGTTTTTCTAGTTTCACTTCCAATTTCTTCTAATAAACTATAGTATAGATCGATTTTATCTTGATGATGTTGAAATTCTTCTTTTAGTGTTTTGAGTTCTTCTGCGGAAAATCCGCTTATTTCAGCCTTTTCCCATAATCTATTTAATTTTTTATCTTTAAATAAGGATTTGTTCATATAATTATTATCGTTTTTATCATGGAATTTCTAAAATCAGAAATTGAATATTAAAGTAAAAATTTATGAAATTAGTTAGCATATAGAAGTAATTAACACATGGAATTGTTTACTCACTTTATAAGGTTTAGTTTTGACCGGATCTTGAGTATCTTCAAAATGTTCTAATAAATCATATGTACTCATAATTCCAATCAGTTTATGTCTTAATTCTGCAGCTTTTATTCCATCTTTATCTTTGTGTTGTGAGTTAAGCTCTTTCCATGCCAGTTCTTCTTTATCTTGAATTTTAAGTTCCGTGTACAATGATTTTAATTTTGGTTCTGTTAATCTATGTTTTGCTTTTTCCCAAACAAGATTAAGTTTCCCCATTCTAAATGGGTTCTTGAGATCTCTATCAAAATAACACGTTTATATTGAACAGGATATTATTACGGTTTTAAGTATTAATTACCTGATTTCTGGGTCATATTTTTCTGAATCAAAAATATTCGTGTTATATTCCTTTGAGTATTTATTTTTTTGTTTTTTATCACAAGTGCTTGCTTGAACTAATATCAAAAAGATGATAAGAACAGAAACCTTTTTAATATTTTTGTTCATGTTAATAAAAAATCATAAACCTATTGAATGCCTGAAACAGTTTTGAAAATTATCTATGTAATTTTGTTAGGGTCGTTCAAAATGCTTTGTCTCACGTACCTACGACTGTGAATATGAAATGAAATATGTAAGTGTGTTTAATTTAATTCAAAAATTAAAAAAACATCGAATTCTTACAATTTTTAAATAATTTCAAAATGGAAAGACCATTGTATCAACGTTACAACACCAAACATAGATAAATTTACACTTTTTGTGATTGTACAGTTGTTTTCTTACTAAAACAATTGACAAAATTGTGTTATAGTATAGGTACATAGAATATTTTATGTATTATTCAAATTTAAATCAAAAGATAAAGTCAATTTCTGATTCAAAGTTTTCAAATAAGCAATACTCCGACTTCGTTTCGCACGTGCAATTATTTAATGTTATTTTTAACACAATTGCTTTTCAAATCCAGCAAAATTGTTAAAAATCGTTCTAAATTATTGAAAAAGTGTTTTTTGAACAATAATTTCGGATTTCTTTTCAATTTATGTGTCCTTAGAAAACAATCATTTCAGAAACTGATAGAGGAATAAATATAAAAAGAACGTTAAATTTTTATAATTTTGTGTTTTTTGATCAGATATACAATTTGTGTTTCCACGATATTGTATTAGAGAGATGGTCACCTTACATTAAAATATGATACAAATTTATATAAGGTACATAAATGACTTTTCTTTTAATAACATTGAGTTAACGATATTTTATTGACCAAGTCAAATAAAAATGATAGGCCTTGACATTTTGTTTTATTTCTTGTTCCAACAAAACGTATACCGTTTCCACTTAGATAACATTCGATATTGACGCAATATATAACATATTTTATATAAAAATTTCATAAAAGTAAGATAAAGAATCACACTATTTTTATATTTTATTCTGCCTACTACTTTTGTTTTAAAAATGTCTGAGGGGTTAATTTGTTCGGCCTGAATCCTATAAATTTTCTTAATTAATCACAATAATATTATGTGATTTTATTATAGATATTATAGATATTATATGAAAGGTAATTTCAATAGAAATTTAAAAAGCCGGTTTGTTCTAATTATCTCTTTTGGGACTGTCATAAAAGTTTGTGTACTGTATTTTCAAAAAATGCAAAACATTTTGGTGCATTTTCTGATTTGGGTAATTACTGAAACTCACATGTAAATATTATCAAACTTATTGCTTCGGTTAGACATTTATTATGTAAAAATAAAATTGTATAGGAACTAATGCATAAAGTTCGCCTACCAAATTGATAAGTAAGATCGTCATCATTTAAATGATGAAAGAAACTGAAAGTTAAAAAGCTTAATATTTGATTTTGAAGTTTATTATTTTTTTAGCGTTTTATATTCACAACAAGTTTTTTTTTTAAATCGAGTTTGGATCTCGACGTTAAAACTCATATTTTGTTAAAGTTTGTAATTTTATCATTTTGTTAAAATATTTATGTACATTCGGCTATTTAAAAATATGAAAAATTTATAATAATAATTGCTATTTCTTCGCTTTTTTATTTGCCCCAATGCACATTATCGTATTTAGAAATTAAATGGTAACTTACAAGTTATCTCATTTTATGGACACGAGTTTTATTTTCAAGGAAAATTTATGAACAATTCTCACAATTAAACTTTATTGGGCTTGGAGATTAATTTATTTGAAAGTTTTAGTGATTTTTCTTGACAAAAATTTGACATTGTTAATACTGCACTAATATTTTTATGGGTCTTCTATCTTTTAAATTTCGTTTGCATAAAAGCCGCTTGGTGTTGTGTTGGTCAAATAAAAAATTATATTACCAAGAGCGACATCTTTGGGGTTTTTTCGCACCGTGTGACAGTTGTTTGAATTTGTCCGCTTTTGAATTCATAGTTCATTTAAAAATTGGACGCTTAAAAATTTTTTAATTCAATTTTGATTGTTAATTTTTTTAATATTGTAGAAGTGTGTAATTGTTATGTAAATTGGGTCTTATTTTTGTGTTGAATAAATTTCGGAAGAAACATTTCGAACGATAAAATGAGTACTTTTGAGGTAATGTAATAATTCAATCCAAGATCAACTTGATTCAAATAAAAATATGCACAAATGTACATACATACTTACATATATTATTTGTATTAAATGTAGGTAAATATAACTCCCACAAGAAATAAGACTGTGAAAAAAGTGGACAGACAGCCAACAGATGTGATTCTGGCTCCATTTAGTGCAAAAGCAATAGTTACATTCGAAGATGTTCCAGTTTTCAAAACAGCCAGACGAGTTTTAAATATCATTAACCCTTCAGATGAAGATGTTAAGGTAAAGATTTTTCTTACATTTGTAATTATTATTTAATTGTACATACATGTTATGTATCTGTACAAACATATAGGAGGATTTTTTAAGTGTAAAGTTACTCTGAATATAAAAACCAATTTAAGCTATAATTTACTGAACTATTTAATAAAAAATTGGCGTTTTACAATTAACAAGCCTTAGTATTAAACTATATTTAACGACACTTTGCATATTACAGGCAACGACAATTTTAAATTGATACAATGTGCATGGATTGTGCATTTAAAATTCTGTTAAACAAATTAAGTACAATTTTTCGTAAAAACAAAAAGATCTTAAGCTTAAAGTAAAATGTAGTGATTCATTTATAAAATTAGAAAATTATTTAATAATTAGTTAATTATTCCTAATTTTCTCCGACTTTCAAAGATGATCATCTAATAATAAATCGTTGTCATCTCCGCGATCCGGCAAACATACAAAAAATTCAAATAAATTTAAAATGGGTCCCCTTGAAAATGGATTTTGATAGCGTCCTCGTTTATCTCTTAAGTACGGATAACGTTTGTAATTGAACATTTCGTTAGTTGTTAAATTCATACAGGCATGAAGAACCTTAAATAATCAAGAATGTTTGTATTTTACGTAATATTTAATATAAAAATAGAATATGTACAACGATTGATGATTGGATATTTTCTTTAAAAAACGATACTTACAGATGTACATGTTAATATCCAACCTAAGCCACAAAAAATGAATGCTTCAAGCAGTCCAAGGACGTATAATAATGTAAATCCTTCAATCATAACACAATAGCATGCGAAATATATTGTAAACGAACAATTAATTGCTATTGAAAGAACAAATAGGAAGAACCACATTCTATTGCGTAACCCTACACAATTGTATATAAAGGGACAGTGATGGTCAAAATATGAAACGCAACGATTACAAACACGACAATGTTTCGCTCGCAATGGTCTTAAACACCTGCAACTATGACACAATCGTGTTAATATAACATTACGTTTTTTCCATTTGTCAAAATAGGGTATTTGTTTAATAGCTCTATAATATGCATCGGAATTTAGAGGTATATAACCGGGATCTCTACGATTTGCTATTATCCAGCTAATCCACATTACAGCATTCCAATATATGAAGCAGTAATGTGACCTTCGTAGTATGTTCCAGGTTATAGGAATACACTAAAATAAAATTAATAATTTAATTTGTTATTTGAATTTTTTCAAAATTTACCCTTATCATATACATTGGGTAACCCCAGAGAAGAACAGAAAATAAAAATAGTAATAATGGTCCTTTTGTATCTCCGGCTCCACCAAACAGAAGTCCCCAGATTTCAGATACTGAAGGTAACCACCTTGATTTCTTTTTAACTTCATTATAGAGTAGTTTAACAATGTCGTGATGTCTATGACTTTGAGCCAACATTATAGGCGTTTTACCATTTTTATCACGAGGTTCCAAGTCCATATTACTTTTTTCGCAAAGTAATCGGACACAAGTTATATTACCGGATAAGCTCGCTAAGTGTAAAGGGGTTGATCCAAAATTGTCCGTTTTTTGAAGCTGTAATAAAATGTTCTATATTACCTTAGCAGAAAATTTTGGTAATAAATAAAACTGATAAAAAAAGAAGAAAAACATTTTTACCTCAACGCCACTATACATTAGTAATCGCATTAAATCTGGATGTCCTTTGTAGGCGGCCCAATGCAAAGCTGTGTCACCATTGATATCTGTCAAATGATTTAGAGCTCCCATGCCTAATAGATAGGCGGCTGTTGCAGTTCTGCCATACATACAAGCCGTCATGAGTGGTGTTAATCCTTTAAAATCAGCTGCGTTGACCGCAACACCAGCTTGTAATAATACTTGCACAACAGCAGCATGACCTTTCCTACATGCCCAATGGATTGGTCTAGGTCCTTGAATACCCAAACACGGCAGATCAATTGGCGCATTTCTTTCAATTAAATAACGCATCATTTCCACATTACCATCAAGTGCAACCCAATGTGCCGGAGTGTAGCCATGACGATCCCGCGCTGACAAGCAACTTAAACCAAATTTTTCAACTAGGTTTTCTAAATCATTAACTTCGCCGTTCTTTATAACATCAAAAACATCTTCAAGATATGCCATTACCTCAGATCCTTCAATTATTAAATTGCTATCCACATCACCTTGATGATGGTGAGGATGATTTTCAGTTGGTGAATGACGATGAGGGTCCTGTGGATCATCTGTATGCGCGGCGCTCTCTTCTTCAGCCACCATATTACACGAAGCAGTCAAGGGTAGCGCCCATACACTGCGGGCTGCCCCCGGACTAGGATGAACTTTACTGTTCTGCGTTCTGATGCTGTTTTCACACGCCACGTTAAATAAGAAAATTTTTTTTTGATGATGTTCGAATGTTTTATTGTAAGAGATTAAACTATCTCTTAATTCTTCTGGATTTTTGTTATTTCCTTTATACCAGCTTATTAGTTTATGATAATACGCTCCAAGTCATACGTATTAATTTTACTCAAATTTAATTCAAGAACAAAAAATTGTTTTGCTTGGTGACATCTATGCATTAATTTTTTACAATGACTTTAAAAATCAATATTTTCGTTTTTAATATACATACATATGTATGTATGCTTTATATAGAATTCTAGAAATTTTGATGGTCATAAAGGAACATGCGTTGTTCACATTTAAGTTGATTATTAAAAACTGGTCATGTCATGTTTGGTTCAAATTCAAAATTTAAATTTACCGTTTCATCAAATTTTGTTTAATACTTTATTTTAGGTCATGCTAACAAGATCTTTAAATCCTGAATACAACATGAGCTTAGAATGGACATCGAATGTCATATCTTCAAATAACAGTGTTTCTTTGGAAATGATTTGGAATCCCAAAAAGGAATTACAGTGCCGGGAGACAATTCAGTTTACTGATAACAGAAATTACCGAAAAGATATTTCCGTTGTTCTGAAATCTGTTAAAGCTAAATCAGTACGCACGTTTTTAAATATATTTAATTTTATTTGATTTTTTCATTTTATTTAAGGGCACTAAGCGTTTTCCAACTCTTTCATCACATGGATCGATTTCGAAAGTTACTTTGAAATCTAAACCGCAATTAGCAGTTAATACCATTTCAAATCGTAAATCGGTTATGTCTAACATTAAGACAGCTATAATTCAAAAACAGTTTGAAGAAATACATATAGGAAAATATCAGAATATAAAAGAAAATAGTTTTTTTGAACAAAATTCCAAAACACTACATTGTCGTACAGAAAATATAAAAACATCCCTTGAAGCAAAAAATAATATGCAATTTAAATTGAAAATGACTGATGAAAATGAAGTGGAGAAGAGCAAAAATATGAACAAGGAAAATATAAGTCCAAGAGTGCTTTCAAGTTCGTCATTATTTGATAATTTTCAATTTACTCCTGTGGCAGATCGTTGTACAGCAAAAAATAAAGATTACAAGACGGAGCTTTCACCTAATTTGGAGTATTATTCATCTTTACCGACGCCAGTTACTATTAAGGCATCGAAGAAAAATTTTTTGGAAAAGCCACCATTAATTAATTTTTCTCCGGATTCTCATTTAAAAATAGAAACCACTGATATGAGTCATACAAGTACGCAACAGTGTAATTTTATTGAACATCCTTATAATCGAAAAATTTTTGTTGAAGAAGAGAAACATTGTGATATTATATGTCAAGAAACATACATTGAAAAGTATAGTCCTGGTCGAACGTATACGAAAGATTATATACTGGATACGAGCTCTGAGCAAATAAAATCCTTTGGAGCCCCTCTTATAGATAACAAGACGTTTGATTTAAAAAATCAGACAGAAAGTTTTGAAAATCTATCATTACTGAATATTCGGAGTACTGAATATGCAGCAGATTTCATAGATTCAGATATTCCAAAAACTAATTTAAACAAAGTTGAGCATGTCGATATTGCTGATAAAAGAGGAACAAGGTTGTCTTCAATAGCAGAAATTGAAGAAATTTCCCGGTCAGATCAATTGAGAAAGCCAGGCCAAAATTCTCCATCTTCTCAAAATTTAAAGAGGGATGTTAAATTGATAGGAACCCCATTAAGAAAATGCTCAGAGTCCATGCGTGATTTATCAGGAAAGTCACACAAGAATTCTATGGGTGCAATGGGTTCAATGCCGGATTTAAATAGTATGGAAAAATTACAATCAATAGAACAAAACCGTTATTATTATCAACAAAATTCTAAATCAAATATCGGGTTGGCTTCAAATACCTCGCCGAGCTCGAAAATATTTAGAAATACTGATTTATTAGACATAAGCAATGAAAGTACGGTTAGTAATGCAGATATATATTTTAATCAAAGTGAAATCCGTGCAGCATCTAGCAGGTTTAATATTAATGATGGTAGGTAACATTTTTTTTGCTTTAATACATATATTTATTTTTTGAGAAAACTTCTTATTCAAATAATTTTTCAGCAAAAAGTTCAAAAATGACAAGAATAACAAGCCCTTTCAGTACCAAGCTGGAACTTTCTACACCTTCTTTTGGAAAACTTAAGAAGAGTCCTTGCAGAATTCAAAACGCAACATCACAGGCTGATAATATTGATTTTAAAAGAACTTATCGTGATTTAGATTCGCCAACATCACTTAACATTAATTTAATGCCTCCCAGATCTTCTATTTCAATGGCGATTTCTCCACCTAAACGGATTAGATACGATAATGAGGTTTTCTCAAATAACGAGTGCAATAAAATGAACCCACTTTTTCGTGTTGTAAATTGGAAAAGTTCTAATTCTATAAAAAAGTTGCGTCTGCAGAAAAATCTATCTTTGGTACGGAAACAGATTACACCTCGAAAAATAAAGGAAGAACCTCGTCAGATGTTGTATAATAGTGAAAATTTTTTACAACACTTTATAAATCCCGACCCTTTTGCAGCTACAACCACATTCGATCCATTTTTAGCTACAACCATGTATCTTGATGAAGAAGCAATTCGAAAGTATGAAGTTGAATTTAAAAAATGGTTGAATGCTCTTGTTTCTATTCCTTCGGAATTAGATCCAAACTGCGAAGAAAAAATTGATGTTGGACGTCTGTTTAATGAGGTTAGGCATAAAGAATTAATTTTGGCTCCCACAAAAGAAGAACAGTCAATGAATTATCTAACAAAGTCTCGTATGGAGGCTTTAAGATCTGCTGCTGTGAAGCTATTTATGAGCGAAGAAATGTGTGTAGTATGCTCAAAAACAGCTATTTATGTGAAAAAAGGTTCCCTTAAAATTCGTGCAGATCGTGATTTACATTTAGATGTTGTTATGCAAAGAACTATTTTGGAGTTGCTATTATGTTTCAACCCTTTGTGGCTGCGTTTAGGGTAAGAATATTCAATTTAATTAATTTCAATTCAATAAATCAATAATTTTAATCTGTTATTCAAAACAAAAATTTCTTTTTATTTTCAGATTGGAAGTTGTTTTTGGTGAAGTAATTCATTTACATTCAAATTCGGATATAGTTGGATTGAGTACTTTTATTTTAAATAGATTATTTCGTGATAAATTTATTGAACGAAAATACTCCAAAGCGTACACTCTTTCTGAAGAATATAGGGCTCATATGAAATCTTTCACTTTACAAAAAATTCTATTTCTGTTGCTATTTTTAGACAAAGCAAAAAATTACCGAATTATTAAGCACAATCCCTGCTTATTCATGAAAAAATCACAATATAAGGAAACTAAGGAAATTCTTCTTAGAATTTCGTCGGAATTGTTAGCTAGTGTTGGAGATATTACAAGAGAATTACGTCGACTAGGATATGTTTTAAGTCATAAACAATGCTTTATTGACGAATTCGATTACGCTTTCAAAAATCTAGCAGTTGATTTACGCGACGGTGTTCGTCTAACTAGAGTTATGGAAATTATATTATTAAGAGATAATCTCACAAATCAATTAAGATGTCCTGCTATATCACGCTTACAACGTATTTATAATGTAAATTTAGCGCTGAAAGCCCTTAACGAAGCAGATTTCAAATTAAAAGGTGAAATAACTGCATATGATATTGTGGATGGACATAGAGAAAAAACTTTATCTCTATTATGGCAAATAATTTATAAATTTAGATCGCCAAAATTTATTGCTGCTGCTACTGCGATCCAACAATGGTGGCGTAAAAACTGGCTTAATGTGGTTATCGATCGGAGAATTAAAATTAAGGAGGATATTAAACGTCAAAAGGCTGCGACACGTATTCAAGCTTGCTTCCGAGGTTTTATTACCCGGAAATTTGTCCAAGCGTATAGGAATGAACGAATTACTGCTGCAATTTGTTTACAAAAATTTTGTAGGAAATACTTAGAATACCAACGTTTTAAAAAAATTAGAATTTCTGTAATTTGTATTCAGCGTTGGTATAGAAATAAAAGAATTGCAATTGAAGCTCGCTCCAAATTTTTACATGTAAAATTAGCAACTCAATCCATACAAATCTGGTATAAGAGAATAAAATTGGCACGAAAATTAGAAAAAGCTGCGCCGTTAATACGTGAAATTAAGGCAAATGCAAAATTGCGTTACGAAAAAGCAGTAGTTATTCAGCGTTATATTAAGTCATTTTTTATTCGCAAAAAACTTCACTTTATTGTAAATAGCATTGTAAAAATAATTCGGAAAAATAAATTGGAATATCAAAGCGCTGTAAGAATACAAGCGTTTATAAAAATGAAAGTAATAAGAAGTGATTTTTTAAAAAGAAAAGTATCAGTACAGAAAATTCAAAAGTTTTGGAGATCTTATAAATTAGGCAAAATAGAAAGGGCAAGATTCTTAGGAAAACGTCAAGCTGCTATTGCTATTCAAACATATTTTAGGGATTATTTATTAATGAAAAATCAAAGGGAATATTATTTAAAATTAAAAAAATCAGTAACATTTGTTCAACAACGTTTTAGGGCTAATATACTTTTTAAAAAAGAGAAAGAGAATTATGAAAAACTTAAATATGCAACTTTAATTGTTCAACAACAGTATAGAGCTATATGTCTAATGAGAAAAACCAGACGTGAATATAAAAAATTGCAAGAGAAGATTTTATTTACACAAAGAAGATTTAGAGCAAATCGCTTATGCAGATTGCAAAGTTTAGAATATCAGAAAGTCAAGCATTCAATAATTATTACTCAAAGCATTTACCGAGGCTTCATAGCACGTCGATCTTTCAAACTTTTAAAGCAAAAAACAATAATTATTCAACGGAAACTTCGCGCAACTTTACTAGCTCGAAAAGTACGATATGATTTTATAACTATGCAATATTTTGTTATTTTAATGCAACAACGATTTAGAGCTAATATTCTTATGAATCAAGAAAGGTTAAAATACAATAATTTGAAGAATGCAGCATTGATAATTCAAAGGCGGTTTAGAGCTATAACTGAAATGAAAATACAAAGAAATAAATATTTGAAATTTAAGAAAACAGTTACTTTCATTCAAACTCACTTTAGAGCAATACGTTTGATGCGACAGGAAAGAAAAAAATTTTTATATTTAAAAAAATCTGTTTTGGTCATTCAAGGACAATACCGCGCAATTAAATTAATGCGGAAAGAAAAGTATGAGTACCATAAATTGTTGCAAAGTATTATTAGTGTTCAAAGACGCTTCAGAGGGAATTTATTAATGAAAAAAGAACGCAAACATTTTGTGCTTTTACGCAATTCAGCAATTACTATTCAAAATAGTTATAGAGCAATAGTCACCATGCGAGATCAAAGGGAAAAATATTTATTAATGAAAAATTCAGCAGTTATAATTCAGCGCAATTATAGAGCTTTCAGATCAATGAAAATTCAACAAAATTATTATAGAACACTTTGCAAAAGTATTTTCTATATTCAACAACTTTTTAGGGCTAATAGTTTAATGAAGAAACAGCGACAGAATTACTTACTCATAAGAAAATCGGTTATTCTTTTGCAAAGAAAATGGCGGGCATTTGTTGAAATGCGCAAACAAAGAAAAAAATATCTTTTATATATAAAATCTGTAAAGTGTATTCAACAAAAATATAGAGCATATAAACTTATGAAATTTCAATCTCAAAGTTATGAAAATTTTCGTGCTAAAATAATTTATTTGCAACGAAACTTTAGAGCAAATTGTTTAATGAAAAAAGAGCGTGAGAGATTTCTTAAATTACAAAAAGCTACTTTATTTGTGCAGAGTAAATGGAAGGCGATTAAAATAATGCGAAAAGAAAGAGACGAGTTCCTTTCATTAAAAAAATGCGCGATTGTAATTCAACAAAGATATAGAGCTAATAAATTGATGCAACTCGATAGGACTTATTACGAAAACCTGTATGTTGCCGTTTTAAGTATTCAACAGTTGTATAGAGCAAATTATTTAATGAAACGGGAGAGAACGCAGTATGTCAGAGTAAAAAGCGCTGTTGTTAAAATCCAGTGTTGGTTACGAGCAACTTTTGAAATGCGAAAACAAAGACAAAGTTTTATGATACTAAAGAATACGTGCCAAAAAATTCAAAATAAATATAGAGCTCAAAGATCAATGCGAATAGAAAGGACAAACTTCATAACATTAAAGACATCTATTTTAATAATTCAACGATATTATAGGTCACTTATACTAACGAGAAAACACCGCAGCTATTATTTGAAGTTAAAATTTACAACCATTGTGATTCAAAGGAAATTTCGAAATAAAATGCTAATGCGAACCGAAAGACAAACATATCTTAACATGAGAAAAAGTGCAATTATAATTCAAAATGCTTTTAGATCATACCTTGAAATGAAAAAACATAGGGAAATATATTTGAAGTTACGAAGGGCAGCCATTGTAATACAACAAAAGTATCGTGCAACAGCAAAAATGATTTTGCAGCGGGATACTTTTTTGCATTCAAAAAATTCGATTATTCGGTTTATACCGTACTGCCGAGGTTTCTTGGCAAGAAAACGTTTTAATGCAGCAATGACACCTGAAATGAGAGAGTTTATAAAACAACAACTTGCTGCAAAAATAATTCAAAAATATTGGAGAGGGTATCTGGTTAGAAAAAAATGGGATAATGTTCGTATAAGTTTAATACGACGAAAAATTAAGGAATTGAATAGTGTTGCCAACGTATGTAACACCGTTAAATATAAAATTTGTAACGCAGTAAAGGTTTTGAATGGAAAAAGATGTAATATTCAAGATGAATTGAGTATTCTCCTAAGATTAGGTAAGTTATTGTTTTTTTTCTGGGTTTTTTATGTTTATAATATAATTTCAATATTTTTTTTTAGAAAAATTATCACGTACAGTACCGCATTTTTTGATTGATCACTCTAAAATAATAGCAACATTTTGTTATAGTATCATGGCACAAGCTATTCGATCGGAAATTGATAAACAAATTATTGAAATATGTAGCAGAATTATGTTAAATTTGGCGAGATATAGCACCACTGCTAACACTTTTCTAGAGGATGGCTTAGTTACTATAGCACAAATGTTATTACGATGGTGTGATAAAGAATCAGATATATTTAATACGCTATGTACACTAATTTGGATATTTTCACATTGTCCAATCAAAAGAAGGGTAAGTTTAATATACAAAATTATTTTTTAATTATCGTAACGCATTTTTGAGAAAAGTAAATTGCAGTTTAAATACCTTAAAACAGAAAGTAATTGCTTTGAACCTCTTTTATACAATAATTAATTATTTTGTAATTATGAAAATACACTCAAATACGCAATTTAAAATGCTCATGTTATTATATTCCGTAGATAATTAAAACATTTATGACTACACCGGAGGCCATTTTTATGTTACGTGAAACGAAAAAATTGGTTTTGCGTAAAGAGAAAATGCGTCAAAATGCTCGAAGATTAAGTGTTTTATCAACACCAACAAAAAAGTCGATTGAATTTGGTCCAAAGGCTCTGCCGAGTTTAGAACCTGATTTTGGAATTATAAAAACAAAACCTTATACTTTTGTTAGTTCAGTTTTTGCATTTGATATTGTTTTGAACAGTTTAGGCATTAAGGAAATTAATTAAAATTTATAATAAATTTTTTGTATTATTTATGTATTTTGTATGTTTTTAATATTTTGTATTCTTTTACATAAATAATATATCCTATTACTTATTTATGGTGTTTTTGGCTTTTCAATGTTTTCTAAATTAACAAATTCAAATGAAAATGTAATTCTAAGACCGAAATAACAAAACTTTCACTATAAATTAAAGCAAGAATTTCTGCAAGTATATGTAAAAATCAAATTTGCTTGAAATTTAAATTTTATTCTTTGTTATTACATTAGAAACATGTTTATCAGTTGTTTATTTCAAAAAATTACAACAAAAAAACTAATTATCAAGAGAAAATATTTAAAAAATCTACTATTAAATAATTATTCAAATAAAATAAATAATTTTATTATTTAAATATTTTATTGTTTTTTTTTTTAATTTTAATTTCATATTTGACATCAACAATACTTAGTGAAATTAAATGTAATGGTATAAAATAATGTTGAAATTGTATTGAAATAAGATATAAAAGTAAAATTGAAATTTAAGGCGAATATGAATTTTTGGTATTATGTTTAGTGAATTAGTCTAAATTTTGGCGAATGAGCTGTCAAATTTGTCAAATGAAAAATCTGTGTGACAAGCTTGGCGAATGAGAAATCAAAATAATACATAAGTGTTTTTTTTTATTGGATAATATAGCATTTTTAGTTATATAATAGAAAAATCTAAACTCTCTGTAAAGTATCTTCATAAAATTCTACAAATTATTGTAAAAACTATTGATTGTTTAATATTAATTTAAGCATGAAGAAAAAACGAATAAGAAACAATTCGATCACATAAATAAAGTTCACAAGTTCATTCGACTCGCCTAGCCATTCGCTTGGCCGATCATAATAAGGATATTAATGAATAAAGTGGAGTGTTTTGATTTGAAAGTGATCTAAGTCAACTTCAATTACAAATTAAATATTTCATCGTTTGGGTCTCAAATAAATTTCTACTATGGTCAATTGCTTTGGGAATAAAATATGATGTAAATGGGCTTTGTTCAAAATAAATCATGAAAGTAAGAAATTCGTTCCACAACTAGAAATATACTGAAAAATGTTTTTCTTTTTCTATTTTTTTTTTATTTCATAAAAAATTACCAAAAAAAAATTAAATATGTATAACATAATATTCACATTTATCAACAAAAAGGGATTTAAAAGAAAAATATTTTTTCAAATATTAATAAATAATTATCCTATGTTCCCCTATATTTCCGATATAGGAACATAGGGCAATGCTTCTCTAAAAATCCTATGTTTCTGATTAAGTACTTTGATTTATAAGTGTTCTATAACTATATATATATGTAATTATAAATTTAATTTTTTCAATGAGAATCAAATTTTTTCCACAAATTTTTAACATTAAATAACGATTAACATTTAGATAGCAATAAAATAGTATGTGCCTCCATATTCATTGTGTTATTGATTATGCAATTTGTTGATATTAAAACCATAAAATTTAAATTTTAAAATTTAAGAGGATACAATTGAAAAACATATCTGTTAAACGATGTAAACTCAATTGTTTTATTTATTTTCGATATGATGAATAGACTAGACTATAATAAACAAATGCAAACACATATAAATAGATTATATATCTAACGATCTTTCCTGGGGTTCAAACAGAGAATTCATAAAATTTTTACATCTTACTACTTAATCAGTTGTTGAAATATTATAGAAAATATCAACATATTATGGAAAATCACAAAATATTTGAATTTTCATATCAGATTCAAGCAAGTAAGATGTGATACATTCGTTCAATAAAGTGATATAATTTAAGTCACTTTGTTATAAATTACATATAAGATCTTAATTATAAATAAATAGATACGTTTGCATGAATACATGTTCTTATGTATGTACATATTTTTTATATTTATATATGCACTATGCGTGAATGTAAAATGTAAAATTTAAAATATTTTTTTGTTAAAAAATTTGTAAAGTAAAATGTTTTTGCCATATGCTTGTGTTAATGGGTTTTGGAAATTCATTTGCTGATTGTTCATTCGCTCTTAATTCCGGTAATACTGGTAACGGTGGGTTTTCAGTTGTATTTTTACCATTAAATAAAAAATTAGTAGAACTAAAAGCAAAAAAAAAGATAACAATTGTTTATTTAAAATTCCATTTTGATATTTTTAAAGAGTGTTTTTACCTTGAAATTTTAGATTTTGGTTCGATCAAGCCATTTTGATATCGTTCAATTAATGTCTTTTCTGTCTCAGCTTTAATGTCAGTTAACGGAGATCTTGGTATTGTGTCGATTAGTAAGGGTCTTTTACTTTGCTCTGTTGAAGTTTTTAATTCGTAAGTCTTTGTTAGTAGTACTGGCATTACAAAATTATCATTTAATGTCGATTTTGTTAAAGTTTCATTTTTAAAAGTATTTTGTTCTGTTGCTAAATTTAAATATGTATGTTCGGGTCTTAAATATCCATCTTCGTCAAATTGTTTATTAATTTTCCGTTCCGTCGAAATATCATCATCCTCATTGTCGTAATATTCATTGTCTTCTTTGTCTTTTTTCTTTAAATCAGTATCGTCATTGTCTAATGTTGTCATTTGAAAATTAGTATTTGGTTTTTCTAAAATAATTTCTTCCTTCGAAAATGTAGTCGTTTCTATATTAGACGATTTAAGCTCAAATATAGATTTCTTAGTTGGATCTAATTTTATGTCAGTATTTTTATGTTCAATTTTTGAATCAGTATAATGATTTCTATAGTACGGTTGACGTTCGTTCAAATTTTGAATATAAATTTGTAAATGTGGTTTATTTGTATAAAGTAATGGTCTGTAATTTGATGGTCTATCGTTGTATGGTATTTTTATTGTTGGTGGGTAAGAATTTGTTTGGCTGAATGGCGTAGTACTTTGTATTAGAGGAGAATTAATGTAATTATTCCATTCGTTATTGCTAATTTCTATAGGTCTATTAGGTTGCAAAACAGGATTATAATTTTGTACATTAAAATTTGTATAGGTTGGTCTTTTATTTGTATTTGAATCAAATTGTCCATTATTTGGAAGTACGGGTTGAAAAAATACTGTTCCGTCTTGATTTATATTATTATGAACTAAACCACTAATTAACGTTCCAGTTGTAGTAGATGGAGTCATATCTACTCGTCTGTTTGGTGGAGTCACAATAATTTCATTTTTTTCGGTATTTGTAACAGAATTGGAATTAAAATTTTGTATACTGTTAAAAAATCCGTTGAAAGTGCCTGTAATTGATGGAAGAAGATTATCGAAAAATCCCGGTCTTGGAGTTGTATTTTCTGGTCGATTGAAAGGATCGTCTTCGTCGGGAACATAGTAAATTTTTGGTGGTTTAGTTGTTTGAATAGAAGGAATATTGGTATGAATATTATTATATTGCGATATTGGCACTATTTGTCCAGGTGGTTTATAACTGAATGGGCTATCATTTTGGATATGTTGTTGAATATGTAAACCGTCAAAATTATTTTCTGTTTGAATTGTAGTGGTTTTTCGATTGCCTTGTACATTATTAAATAAAGAATTTTGGTGTTTGTTAGTTTTTCGAATATTGATTTCAATTTCATATTCTTGGTTTGGTCCATCAGTAGCTGTTATAATGTTAATGTTTTGTTTACGAACAAAATTTTTGTTTCCATTATTATTTAAGTGTATAGTTCTTAAGTCAGCTTGTTTAATTGGTTCGTTGATTGTAGGGTCCAAGTTAAAGTTTAATTGGTCAGTTTCTTGTTTGGTTGTCATGTTCTGATCATTTGATTTTTCATAAACGCAATTTGTATTCATCGGCTTAGTATTTTTGGTTGAGTTTATTTTTAAAGTTCTGCAAAGTATTTGTTTTGTTTTGTAATCGTTAACAAAAGAGGCTCTGTTATTGCTTTCGTCCGTTTCCATCATTTCCTTATTGTCTTCAAAAGTTAGCATGTCATTTTCTTTTTTATCAACCCGGTCCAGTTGGTCTAAGTTTTTATGATTATCTTTGGTTTGTTCTAATTTACTGTTTTGTTTCTTTTCGTCTGTTTTATTCTTTAGTAATACTGTTGTAGTTTTTGTTTTTTCGTTCACATTTATTTCGTCATTCATAGTTTTTCCTGTTTTTGCCATACTTGTTTTGTCTTTGACAGTGTCGTTATGTTTAGAGTCTTCTTGTACACGTTTTTTTGATTTCAGTCCAGCATTTGCTGTACGTCCTATTTCGATTGGTACATTGTTAATAAAAGCTTTACGTTTTGTAGTTATATGTTTTATGGACGAAATTGTTGTTGCAGTTGTAGTAGATTTTTTCTTCTTTGTATCAAGTTTGTGGTCAATTATTTGTACGTTTATTAAGGGAGTACGTTTTGTCGTTGTAATATTGTTTGTGAAGTCGAGTTTATCATTAATTTGACTTTGTAGAAGCTCTTCTGGTGGGGGTTTTCGAAAACCAGTAGAACCGTTCGGTACGAAATCGATTCGGTTCAATAGTACGTTAGTTGTTTTCGGGTCCTTTTCGTTTCGTTCTTTCGTTGATAAAGTTTGCACTGAAGGAAGTGTGTCGTCGGTTAAAGTTAATACGTCCTTGATGTTAGTTTCTTTGTTATGTGGTATCGAAATAGGTAAGTCAGTCGTTCCGTGCGTAAAAGTAAATGGTATGTCAGTACCAGTGTTTTTGAAAGGATCAAGCTCTTTCCATGGTCGTAAATCAATTGGTAGTAAGGGTGGAATTCCACATGGTAATCTTTGATTGTTATCCGCTTCATGAGGTATAAAAATATGTGGTTGATATGTTCCTCCTCCAGTTGCTCGGCATAAAATTTGTGCAAGAGTTACTCGACGAATTGATTGTAATTGTGCTGGTGTAAACGAATTTTCAAAACCTCCGTTTTCATACCAAAAACGATCACCTCGTCTTAAATTACTAAATTGTTGTGCTATTATGCATGCAAATGTTGGACCAACAAGACCCCCTACAGCAAAAAAGATCAAAATTTATAAACCACATCATTTCAAGAACTAAATTATAGTTTACCAATTACAGCTCTTTCAGCTATACCACCCACGAAAAGATCTATGTCGTGAACTGAAATATAGGCATGTCGCATACGTCTAACTGATTCTGGTCCTACAACTTGATTTAAATCTTCCCAATCAGTTATTGGTGTTAAACCACACGGTTCTCTCCATGTTGTATAAGGTGGAATGCCATGATCACGTCCACGTTGAATATTAATAGCAGCTAAGTCAAGTCCAAATGGAAAATCTAATAACAAATGTTTTATTTAAAATAATTTATACAGTGCGTGTATTCTTCTTTAATTTACTTCCTGTTTGAAAAAGATGATTCGTTAGTTCTGGTGTTATAAATTCATCTCGTTGTAAAGCTCGTTGATTCACCATTCCCCTAATTAATCGATGTAACGAACCACGGGTTCCCATATCACCATGAGCAAATTCATCATGAAGACTAACATCTACAATCACAATTGTTTATTTTTAAAATACGCGTTTTTATAAAGGTTTTGATGGTATAATTACTGTTTTGAATTAAATTATGTCCTTGATCACACCTTATATATGAGTTAGGTATTAATGAATGCCCAAAACGGAATGCAGCAGCAGAAAATGAATTAGCTATTGACGGATTAATATGAGGATCATAGCCAGTATAATAACCAGAATTTAATAAATCTAAATCAAAAAGACGACAAACTTCACGTCCTAATATAAGAGGTAAAAATTCACGATATGTTATATGTTGAAATAAAGCTCCTATTATACGCCTTGTCTCTTGGTACACTTTTTCGTCACTCCAGTGAAGATTAATTAAACTTAAGTCGTTTGCAATACGATTATGTTCACCAACCCAAACGTGATGTAAAGCTAATAATCCTGGTTGCTCATTGCTACGTGGATCACCTGATTTTATACAATTCGGTGAAAAACCACCTTTATTACAATTATCATCGATTGGATTACCCCCTCGGCCAAATTGTAATAAACCATTTCGAAATACACGTGCACTATCAGAATTTCGAGCATTGCTCGAGTAAATGGGTGATGCATCCAAAAATGATGTAACTTGATTTGTTTGTTCTCTCCATGACATCAAACAATCACGTCGTTGAGCTGGCGCCGATCGTAAAAATTCTAAACAACGAACTTTTAAAGGTGCTAACCATGGATCGTCAAGCGGTACTTTAATTGGAAAACATGATGGATGAAAATCGTTTGGTCCACAACAACGTGGAATTGAACCATTTATTGACCTTAATAATTGTTATTATAAAAATTGTAAAAAAAAAAAGGTTTAAAAAAAAAGTTATGAGAATAAAAAATATATGTATGTATATGTAAGTATAAAATCATTATAATACGTAGTATATCAATCACCTGGGTTGTGCTGTTGATGTTAAATCATGATCAATTAATTGTCCCCATTGTGCTAAAATTAATGTTACAGGTGCATTACCTTCTCTAGCTCCATGTACTAATAAACTAACAAATCTAGCTGATGATAAAGCACCACCTTCAACTGAAGCTCTTACAGCATCAATACCATCACCATATTCTGGTGGTAAGAAACGATTGAATGGCATTTGTGCTGAACCCCATCTAGGATGTTTAAAATTATTGCATGTACCATCATGCGTTCTATAACGTTTTGCTGCTGGTAAACATATTGGTAATTCACGTGGTGGACATAAACCTTCTAATGCAGTACGACGAAATGAAAATTTCGTTGATGTTGCTTGACGTCCTAATTCTGTTGTTGTTCGCTTATAACTGTAAACAATTATAATAGTTTAAGTCACTTTTAATATAAATTCCACTTAAAAAAATAAAAAAATTTCTTTTTTTTTTATTATTTTACAACAATGAATATGCAAGTCTAATATTATTTTTATTAATTTTTATTAACAGCATATTTAAATATTATTGAAAAATTGAATTTTTTAATAAATTATGTGTTTTGAATTTTTAATTTAAATTTAGGCACAATTATGTGTAGTTTTATGTATATATGAATAAATCGTATAATAAAAATTCAATTAATGTGCACTTATGTATGTAGGTCAATACCATTTTAAGTACCTTTAATAAACAATTACTGAATATTAAAAAAAATCAATTTTTAATTAAATTTATATTTAAATCCGTAAAACATTCCTGCTTTTGTTTTCATTTTCACCTTATACTGATTTCATTTTTGTTACTGGTATTTCATATAATAAGTTGAGTTATACGTAGCGTACGCGTTATATTTGAATTGATGTTAGGCACGGTGAACGATTAATCAATTGCGGCCGATGTCATTGTAATAATTTCAAATTTTTATTGCTTTATTGTAAGTTTTACTTTTATTTTTTTGTTGGGTTTTTCTTTTTTCTTTTGCAACTTAAAAGTTTTGAATAGTAAAATTTTAATAAAAAATTATTATAACTTTTCACAAATTTATTTTTTTAATTTTAAAGAACTCTATATTCGAACAAAAACAACAAAAAAACAATGCACGTAAAAATGACGCGACTTGAATTGTGAAATTAAAATACACGTATAAAATTTAATTAATATTTTTTTTTTTAATTATAAATTTTCTTATAAAGAAAATAAATATTTTAATTTTAAAAAATTAATATTATATTAATATAAAAAACAAAAAATAACAATAAAAAAAACAAAATAAAAATTTTAAAATTTGGAGCGCATCAAAAATTTTTTTACAAATTTTGTATGCAACGTCCAGTCGACTTTAGTATCAAACTAAAAGTGAATTAAAACTTTCTTAGGCGCTCTTATTTATAAAAATCAGAATTTCTTTTTATTATACACACACTCATTTTATTATATTGTATTACGGTTTTAATTTTTATGATAAAAAAATAAAAAAAAAAAATAATAAAATAAAAATGATCATAAAACCCGTGTACCTACGTACATTACAGTTAATAAAAATTAAAATAAAAATAAAGGAAAAATAAAAGTGGAAACAAAAGCGAAGAAAAAAAAAGTCACAAAGTCGCATTTTTTGTTTTCATTTTGCTTAATGAACAGAAAATCTGTTTGCAGTGATGCTTTTAGTTGCAACTTACAAGTATAAACATGGCTCTTGTTTAAGTCATTAGAGTTGAAAATTAAAAAAAAAAATTTTCTTTTTTTTTTTGCCCTGTTCATTATTGCTTTTTTAAACTTTCTTGGATTTAAAAAAAATTTTTTTTTATTCTTATTTACTTTGGTTGACGTTTTTATTTGGTGTGTATGACCTGTTTGTTTTTAGGTACATACACACATTCATATACATGATATTAAAATAAAAGGGTTGTTCCAAAATTTTATGAGAAATGTTCTCAATTGATGTATAGACACTAAATTTAATAAGCAAAATTTAAGTAGTTTAGTATTTGTGTAATTTTGTATAAATCGATGAAAATATACAAAGTACGCAAGTGTTTTCTACCAATTTGGTCAATTTTCTGGAAAACAATTACATATATTAACTATAAGGTAATTTTTTCGAATCTCAAAAACAAATTTTCCTTATAATGAAAATAGATGTTTAATATCAGTAATCTCACAGATTTAAAATTGATTCAACACCGAAATGGTAATATAAAATTCAACTTTTGAATTACAACTAACAAGCTAAATTGTGTATTGACTTGCGCACAAGTGAGCTTGCGAGTTATTATTGCTGAATTATCTATAAATACCGTTTTCCTGCAACTTTAAATCCATAGGAAATAAGCAGTCGGTAAGTTAGGAATTTTTAATAAAATTCATACTAAAATTAGTGGTCAAATGTATTTAAAATTTTTCGCGACCAGTAACCCAGTATTGTGGGAACATTTTGCCTTAATCAAACGTTATTTATTAGGTTTCCTGAAATTTGAAAATCTATGTCAATATACGCACACAATTGGGAAAAAAGTGAAAAAAAAGTTTACGTTTTAATTATAGGGTGTAAAAAATTTTCAATATACCTGCATGGTATCATTCTATACGGATTTTTTTTTACAATAATAAATCTTAATTTCAATTTCATAACAACAAAAAAAAATTTTTTTGCTTTTTTTTGTCGTATTTATAAAATTAAAATGATAAAATGGGAAAAATTGCAAAAAGGAAAATTTTTGTAAAACAAAAAAAAATTTTTTTAATATCAAGTAATGTAAAAATGATAAAATGGAAAAATGGAGAAAGTGAGAAAAATACCTTTGATGAAAACTTCAACTCAGATTTCATGAAAAACCAATACCATAAACCTTGTTGATGATGGTAGTTTAAAAATGATTAAATTATTTTTTTTTCATTTACATCAATTTATAAGAAAAGTAAACAGGGTGATTAAAATTATTTACAAAAATATTCGTTCAGCTGCGGTAGCTTTATAAAAATCAATTTCATAATTGGAAAATATAGATTGCAGTTTCCAATTTTATGAAATATTTTTGTATAATATTTGGATTTCAGGAATTAAAAGTACAAAAAGAGAGAACATTAATCGAACACTGGGATACTGCAGGTTGTTTTTCGATAATTTGTCATTTTGTATGACCTTAATATAGAACACCAATTTTTGACTAATAATAACGAATTCATTGCTGTATTTATCCCAGCTAAGAATAGACTCAACTGCCGATTGGTATGAGTTTTATTTTCATCATAAATTGAGTCAACTTCAATAATATTAACACAATCATGATTTTTTTACATACACATGTAAATTTAAAACACCCTGTTTTATAATATGCTGTAAATTTTAAGTAACATATTATTATAACTTAATTTTCATAGTGATCAGATCATGTAGATTTTGTGTTCAATGGAAATTTTATTTTACCTTAAAATCGTTACCTATACACTAGCATAGCATTTTCTTTTCTTAATAATATACAAAAATTTGAATACTTTGCTCATCCTAAAACAATTTAGGTATGATGAAAATAATGCATTCACTATACAAGTATAGTTGATTTTTTATGTTATTATGCAAAATAAATTGCATGTTGCATACACGAACTTAGGTTTTCTTTCTTTTGTGATCACAAAATTTTTCACCATATATACATATATATAATATGCATCTATAAAATACTGTTGAAGATTGAAGTATACGATTTGATCCGGAATAATGCTAGATTGAATTACACTTTATCTACAAATGGAAATAACGAAAAGAAAACGTGTGGCTTTTAGACATATACATGATTTTCCCAAACAAAAAAAAAATATAGAAATGGAAAATTTATTACTTTAATGTTTAAAATCTTTAAAAATGTTATGGTACTTAGTTTTACCGCTTTTCTTACATACATATATGTATATACTGCAAATCAAATTCAAAAATTAATTTTCCGCAATTAAATATTATGTACATATGTGTGTAGACGAGATATATTTGTTTAAATTTATGGGAAGAGTTAACAAACTTTTAAAAAAGAAAAAAAATAGAAAAAAAATAAAATTTATAATTGAAAATTTCTCTTATTTTAATAAGAAAACTTGATTTAACATGGGAGCAAATTATAATTTTTTCATTAGCATAACAGCATAGGAGTACAATACTAATAGTTATGCATCTAAATGTGCATATCGTAAAAAATATCGTAAAATGACTAATAATAATTGAAAATCATTGCAATCTCATTATTAAAGTATATAAGATGATCTTTGATTTTTACTGATCTTATATACACTTTGGTTTTATATTGTAAAAAATCAATACCAATTGAATTGAAATTTTAGATGATTTCTAAGGAAATAACTTAAAAATTCAATAGAAAAAAATTAAGATGTACATATGCGTATAGCAAAAAACAGAATGCAGAAGTAAGAAAAGAAAGTAAGTAGCGGGAAATCTTAAAATTTTTATCAAACTATGACATTTAAGCGCGTTCAACAATTTAATATTTGACGACAAAACAGGAAAAATAAAATAAAATTCAAATACTACTGAAATGTGCAATTTAATCATATAAAAAAAAGCAAGAAAGCAAACAAACTTTAATAATAATCGTAACCATATAGTTATGAACGAGTTTCGTATGAATGTGTGCATATAAATAAAAAGACGCCAGAAAATATTTTAATTTTACATTTAAGAAAACAAAAAGAAAAACTCTTTGTTAGTGAAAGCGGTTAGTTTAGTAATTAAAAATAATTCTTCTTTATTGCAAACCTGTTGCAATTTGCAAAACAATGCGTAGAGTTTTTTTTTATATAGAAATTTTTTCCTTTTTTTTTTTTTTTAATTAGAGGAGAGTAAAATTAAAGTATTAAGAAAAAATTAATTTGTATATTAATTTTTGTTTAATTACTGGTCCTTTTGTTAGCAATAAATACTCTGGCAAACTTTTAAACAACACTGAGATGAATTAGAAAATCAGATCGCTGAATCCACAAAAACTTTTTGCGTTGGGATTCCTCTTAAAGGAATATTACAACATTTTTAAATATTCCGGAATAATTGGGATTAATTTGTATCTTGTACGCTATTTTTTATACAGGGAAATTAGTTTACAAATTCATATACGGAAAATTTGGCATTTATTTTCGATATAAATACATAAAGACATCTACTGGAATAAACGTAAGCAACTCATACTCTCATACACTCCTTCCTTGTTTAGTAATGGATTTGATACATGTCTTTAGTGCAGCAACAAGACAATTTTATGCACTGCCTTGTTTTGCTTCAAAACTTTAACGCAGAAAACTTAACTGTCGCTAGAAAAGTTATAATAATGCCCATACATACATACTTATATTATCTGGTGTGGTTTAAA